TAAGCTAGCTGCTAAGCTAGCTACTAAACTAGCTACTAAATACCTAGCTACTAACCTAGCTACTAACCTAGCTGCTAACCTAGCTACTAACCTAGCTGCTAAGCTAGATAGTAGCCTAGATACTAACCTAGCTACTAAACTAGCTACTAAACTAGCTACTAACCTAGCTACTAAACACCTAGCTACTAACCTAGCTACTAACCTAGATAGTAAACTACCTACTAGATACTAAGCTAGCTGCTAAACTAGCTACTAAGCTAGCTGCTAAACTAGCTACTAAGCTAGCTGCTAAGCTAGCTACTAAACTACCTACTAAGCTACCTACTAAGCTACCTGCTAAACTAGCTACCAAGCTAGCTACTAAGCTAGCTGCTAAGCTAGCTGCTAAGCTAGCTGCTAAGCTAGCTACTAACCTAGCTACTAACCTAGCTACTAACCTAGCTACTAAACTAGCTACTAACCTAGCTGCTAAGCTAGATAGTAGCCTAGATAGTAAACTACCTACTAGATACTAAGCTAGCTGCTAAGCTAGCTACTAAACTACCTATTAAGCTAGCTGCTAAACTAGCTGCTAAGCTAGCTACTAAACTACCTACTAAGCTAGCTGCTAAGGTAGATAGTAGCCTAGATAGTAAACTACCTACTAGATACTAAGCTAGCTATAAACTACCTACTAAGCTAGCTACTAAGCTAGCTGCTAACCTAGCTACTAACCTAGCTACTAACCTAGCTACTAAACTACCTACTAAACTAGCTGCTAAGCTAGCTGCTAAGCTAGATAGTAGCCTAGCTACTAAGCTAGATAGTAGCCTAGATAGTAAACTACCTACTAGATACTAAGCTAGCTACTAAACTAGCTGCTAACCTAGCTACTAACCTAGCCCCTAGCTACTAACCTAGCTCCTAGCTACTAACCTAGCCCCTAACTACTAATCTAGCTCCTAGCTCCCAATCTAGCTCCTAGCTCCCAATCTAGCTACTAGCTAGCTTAGCAGCTGCCTATATAGCTAATACTCTCTCTCTAGGACTAATATCTTAGTCAAGTATTATAATTCCTCCCCTACCCCCACCCCCTTAGGGGTGGGGGGGTGGGAGGAGGTTAAATTCCCCTACTACTCTTTATCGCCTATATCCCTATATAGACCTAGCTATAGGTATCTTAAGCCTTCTTGAAAGCTAAATCCTTTTGCTTCTGCTAAGCTCAGCAAAATATCACCCGTATGCGTATCCACCCCTAGTGGTCGCTTACGGGTAGCTGGTAGAAATTAAATTAATCGATTATTAATCGATTAATTAATAATTTAATCTAATAATCGATTAAACTAATTTCACTTTCTCGTTCTAATATAAATATCTTTATCTAATTATATATATATATATATATATATATTATAAAACCTTACTTAGTTATTCTAATATAATAATATTTTATTCGCCTTTTTTTCTCTAATTATTTATATATATAGTAAGATCTAGCTCTAAATTTTATTACCCCTATATTAGAAATCTTTATTATCTAGTAGTTTATATTAAAACGTTAGGATATAGACTTAGTATAATCGATTGTTAATCGATTAATAATCGATTAACCTTACTTAGTTATTCTAATATAATAATATTTTATTCGCCTTTTTTTCTCTAATTATTTATATATATAGTGAGATCTAGCTCTAAATTTTATTACCCCTATATTAGAAATCTTTATTATCTAGTAGTTTATATTAAAATATTAGGGTATAGACTTAGTATAATCGATTATTAATCGATTAATAATCGATTAATCTTACTTAGTTATTCTAATATAATAATATTTTATTCGCCTTTTTTTCTCTAATTATTTATATATATAGTAAGATCTAGCTTTAAATTTTATTACCCCTATATTAGAAATCTTTATTATCTAGTAGTTTATATTAAAATATTAGGGTATAGACTTAGTATAATCGATTATTAATCGATTAATAATTAATTAACCTTACTTAATTATTCTAATATAATAATATTTTATTCGCCTTTTTTTCTCTAATTATTTATATATATAGTAAGATCTAGCTCTAAATTTTATTACCCCTATATTAGAAATCTTTATTATCTAGTAGTTTATATTAAAATATTAGGGTATAGACTTAGTATAATCGATTATTAATCGATTAATAATCGATTAACCTTATTTAGTTATTCTAATATAATAATATTTTATTCGCCTTTTTTTAGTTTAATCGATTATTAATCGATTAATAATCGATTAAAAAAACTAAAAATAAACTCTAAAACTCCGATTTTACTACTACTATACTATTTAATTAGAAACGTCTTCTAGATCTATATTAGGTATAATCTCGAAGTTATCTAGATCTATTTTAAATACTACTTCCTTATTCTCCTCCTCCCCTATCGTTAGCTCCTATAATAAGCCTAATATCTTAGAATTAACGAAGTACGTAAAAAGATTATACTCTATTCGGCGTAAAAGCTTCCTATAATCTAGTAATATATTATTAATATATTAGTAAAGTATTAAAATAGTATTTAAATAGAGGATATTATCTTTACGAGTCTTATTATACTTATAAGAAGCGTATAGATACTAAATCTATAGGTAATATTAATAGATATTATCTATTATTATAGTAAGATTTATCTAAGGCTATATTAGTCGAATAATATATTATAAATATATTATTACTTACTATAATAATACCCCGAATTATCTTTATAAAGACCCGCGGCTTTTAAGCTACGCGTACGTTATAACCTACGATAATATCCTTATACTATTCTAGAATTATTTAATATTAGTAAGATTAACCTAAGCTTTAATATATTAATAATACTATACTAAGAGATTCTTATATAGCCTTACCTAATAGATAGCCGATAGTAGTAAAAGTAAGGGTCCTAAAGATTATTAGGTACTTATTCTTATAGTACGTCTTTAGATTAGTAAAATAGGTAAACTTAGTCTAGAGAAATATATTAATAATAATTTATATACTTTACCTAGATAGGTATATCTATAGATAATTAATTTATAATTAATTTACTTACTATTATACTATAGCCTACTATATAATAATATACCTTATTATAATAAAGTAAGTATTAACTAAGAACCTAGAATAGAAGATATTAGTATTATATAATACTTTTATAATAGATTAATTTAATTTATATTAGTACTAATATTAGGTAGCTAGAAAGCGTCTCAGTTAATATCTAGATACTTTTAGTATACCTCCGAGTTTTTAATCGATATTATAGAGGCGAGGTAGATAAATATTAAGATAGTAAGATAGTAAGATAGTAAGATAGTAAGATAATTTAGATAGTAGGAAGTAGAGATAAAAGTGATTTTCGAGAGTTAATAAGTAATTAATAATAATAAAGAGTAGTAATTATTAATTAAAGCCTTATTTCGATATTAAAAGTAGGCCTAATTTAGATATTAAAAGTAAGCCTAATTTAGATATTAAAATAGATAATATATTAATAATCTATAAAAATCTATTAAATTCTATCTTTAAAAGTAAGCCTTATTTCGACGTTAAAAGTAAGCCTTATTTTAATATTAAAAGTAAGTCTAATTTCGACGTTAAAAGTAAGCCTTATTTCGACGTTAAAAGTAAGCCTTATTTCGACGTTAAAAGTAAGCCTTATTTTAATATTAAAAGCGAGTCTAATTTAGATCTTAGAAGTAACCTAGATCCTAGCTATAAAAGAAAGTAATATAAAGTTGTTTAGTAATATAATATATTAATAATATATTATTAATATATTATTTTTTTATATCCTCCTAAGGTCTATTATAATTAAAGAATATATTAAGAACTTATTATTAAGGTATTATAAACTATATATAGATTATATTACTTTATTAAGGAAAGATTAATAATATATATCTATATCTAGGAGTCTTCTTCCTACTCCTCTAATTCTTCCTTTAAGATAAAGTAGTCGAATAGATCGTACTTAGCTTAGCGGTCGAATTTATTATATACTTATAATATATTAGTAATAACTTTATAATACCTTATTTCTTTATATATACCTTTAGCTTAGTCGTTATATTTATATATAGCGTATAGTATATAGACCTTTAGGTAGTTAGTATTAATAATAGCTATTATAACGATTATATTAGTCTAAGTAAAAGATTAGAATAATAATAATATATTATTAATAACTTAAACTTACTAATATAACTCTTTTAACTATCTTAGTTAGTATAGGTAGTTTAGTAGCTATTAAGGCGCGCGTAGCTATATAGCGGTCGTATACTACTATAACTTCCTCGAACTAGCCTATAAGATATTAGTATTAATAAATTAATAATAGATTAAAACTAACTAATCGACTTAGATACTACCTCCCCTTTTAGCCTACTAATCGATAAGAAGGCGAAATTACTAAAGACCTTAGGGTACTTATTCTTATAATAGGTCTTTAGGTTCGCGAAGAGGGTAAACTTAGTCTAGAGAAATATATTAATAATAAATTATACCGTATAGTTTTAAGATTAAAGTAAAATACCCGGACGCGATAGCCGTTAGCTCGGTAGTAAGCTTCGTTATAGTATATTAAGTCCTATATATTAACCTAGTAGTAGTTATTAGTATATATAATATATTTATAATAGATTTTTTCCCTTAGTTTAGTCTTACGTTCTATTCGATAGGGGGAGCTCTAGGTTATTAAAGTCTACCTCTATATACCGCTTTTATGCTTTAGAAGCCTTAACTAACATTATAACGAAGTGTTTAATAGGTTTTAAATAAATTAATAATATAATACTAGTATAGGGTCGTAAGGTTAATAGATAGTATATGAAGAGTTTGATTGGTTAAGAAGTCAGTATTACAATGTTTTAATTACAGATTAGGGGTGTTGAGCTGACCGGTATAGATAAGATAAAACAAATCACGTGACTGGGTGGGGCCACCGGTCAGCTCAACTTTGGACACAGGGGTCAGCTCATCTGCATCCTGGTCATCGCCCTCTAGTCATGTGATCATAGCTCTAGCAATTGTCATCACCTCTGCCCGGGACAGCTCATCGCTTGGCTCCCGTTCAATCGAAATCGTGACCAAAGTATGCGAGGGTGGTCCTTTTGGATAAGACAATTTCTTCGGCACGAACGTAAAGCCCGACCATTGTAACGATCCATACAAAGCTCCTTTGAATTCCTCGGCGAAAACCAATCGTTCATCACCGCCACTATAAAGCGTATGTTTGTATACTGACCGTGATTGGCGCTAAATCTCTTACCTCGCTATCCATTTGGACTTTTGCCTAAGGTTAGGTGGGACTTCATTGTCTCCTCGGTGGAAGTCCCGGCGGAACAGGAAGAACATCCGTTCTAGAGCAGCATAGACATACCGGACCTGGGAATGAAGCCCACTAACTGATGGGTGGTACTGGGCGTTATCCCATCCCTCGGTGGTGCGCTTTAGCTTTTCCTCACATTCGGAGTCGGCAACAAGAACAGGGGCATTCCATGTAGCGCCCTGAGGTCGAAAGAAAATGGGCTTCGGGGGATTGAGGTGCTTGCCATCCTCATCTAACTCCAGGAGTTGACAATCGACGCCAACAAACCTGTAGGAGGTGGGGTGGGGTAAATCAGGTCGGAGGGGTGATCTTCGGCGTTGGTGTAGACTTTGTCAATAGCTGCAATGACTTGGTCACGGGCTTGCAAAAGCTCCCGTTTGCGATTCCGCGTAGTAGGCATAATGATTGTCAGAGCTAAAGGCCAAGTGGAAGTTCGTTGAAGAAATAAGGGATGATATGGATAGAAAGTTTGGGGTCAACGATGACCGCGGGAATTCTATTCTGAAGGCGTAGGGCCTAAGGCTTCTATAACACCTTGGGTCTGCTAATACCTTCGTTTTACAGCCCTGGAGATTTGTCTCTATTCACAATATATACCTACATTTCATTCATGTGCTTCGTCAACAGGTAACTAGACTCAAATCTGCCGAAAAAGAAAGGGAAGCCAAAGTTGATTATTCTCTCGATTTATAAACATGGTCTCTGATCAGTCGGTAAGCCGGTAAGGCCGGGAGCAAAGTAAGAATAATCATGAAGCAAGAGACAAAGTAGGGATAATCATGAAGCAATCCCAAAGATCCGCCGACGAAATGGTAAGGTTCTGCCAGGCCACACCCCATGCCTAAGGCACCAACATGTGAATAACCTCATGACACTATATATCATAACAACGAGCCCCTTCAAGTCCCTTCATATTCATTCCTAAACCTATCAAAAGGTTAGGAACTATTCGATCTATCCCTATGAAAGGACATTTAGAATCTCGCCTTAGTCGTCGTAAATCGAATGAACAACATAAATGTGTCGGATGGAAAGTATTAGTTCCCTGGGACGTGCCGGATACACTGATCGCGAACGGAATTGAACTAAGCGAGATTAAAACAATATTTTGATCTCATCAATTCTACTGACTTTTCTTTCGTTCTCGAAGTTCTTAACTCTTCCCCTCTCACCCGAGAATGGATAAACAAACCCGGAATAAGCGTTGCGATGAAGTTAAGCGACTCTACACGCTACTTAAGAGTTGTGAATTTTGGTTTCTTTCCCCCCGTGATCTCCAAGGCCTCGGAATCTATAGCCAGCAAGTTGGACTAAACATACTAGGACGAAATGGAAGCATAGCGCTCCTGAACTATGTGGACTTAGTAGAAGGAACTATTAGCGTATACTAAGTCTCCGAGAAGTTTTTCAGCCAAGCTTTAACCCACATGCAATTATGGAACTTTTATCCGATGTTCCCGCAAATCATGTAGAGAATTGCCTTACTCTCCAAGAAGTAAGCGCTATTCTCACCGTGATGGTTGCTCGAACATCCAATCGGCCTACACTTCCCAGCTACTACAACATAGAGATTTCCTAAGCACTTTTTTAGTTATTGGTTTTTTCATACACGGGACACAAACATGGAAGAATAATTCAAGCTTCAATACATCGAGAAAGCTTGCTTTTGCAATATTCTCAGCTATGGAGTTTCGCGGATGACGAAACGGCACCAGTTGAACTTTTCGTTCGTTATGATATGAGCCAGCCAGTTCCCATAGCCTTGGAAGAGTCGAATCCTATTATTGGTTCTCTTGTCGGCCCTGCCGCGTTTATGAGCTTGAATTAGCTATTTAATACAGACCCTACCACAAGTATTTACCCGCATTTTTACCCTACCACCACAGTATATATATCTCTTTACATCTCTACGTAGCACTACCAATTTTTGGGCTATATGAATTTTAAAATATAGGTTTAAAACCTAAAGATCTCTCTCGCTTAGGATCAAAATTTAATATTTTGTGTAGTACACCTTAGCTTTTAGAAGACGGGTGGTCAAAAGGACCCCGAAGGGCACAGATCATGAAGGGCAAATGAGGCACACGGCCCCGGTCTATAATAATCCAATGAACTAATTGCCAATCTTAAGTCTACCTTCTTCATTTGAACTCCCAACCAGACCCTCTAATGTTGACAGACCTGAAATTTTCAACTGGACCCCTTCCTTCCCCTTCTGTCGTCGACAAATATTTTCAATCGCATATCGACGCGGTCTGAGGCTTGCCACAACATCGATTTGGGAGAAAAGAAACATCTTACTACATATGAATCTTTGCCCATGAGAGTAGCAATCCGCACTCCAAAGGATTAATCCCAATCATGACACGCATATGGCCGAAGGGCGGTCTTATGTCTCTTATCAATGTACAAGTCGAGCCCGAGAAGGATCCTGCATCCCTCGATCCTGCATATCTTGTCAAGTGGGATCAGGACGAGGTTTTGAATCCTCAGAATTGGACTCCCAGGTACAAATGGTGGGTAACATCTCAACTGGGCATGCTTGCTTTTGCAGGTAGTCTGGGGTCAAGCATCACTACATCGGCCGATGACACCATCGCGAGATATACTGGCGTGAGCAGCGAGGTTGCTGTGCTAGATGTATCCCTGTATATGTGAGTGGGGTTCAATTAAGACACTAGAGATGACGCTAACAATGATACCAGGCTTGGCTTTGTCTTCGGACCTATCATCTGGGCTCCTCTTTCAGAAATCTGGGGCCGAAGAATCAGCATACTTCCCGCCGTCTTTTGTCTAGCATTATTCTCCATCGGCACTGGCGTAAGCACAAATGCAGCCTCGGTGTTTGTCACACGCTTTTTTGCGGGCTTATTCGGCTCTGCTCCGATTAGCAATGCCACCGCCGCACTAGGTGATATGTGGAGTAAAGAGACGCGTGGGACTGCAATCACTCTCTATGCAGTGGCAGTGAATGGCGGCCCGGCGCTAGGTCCAGTGATCGGTGCAGCGCTCTTGTTGAATCCCCATATGGGCTGGCGCTGGACCGCGTACATCCACGCAATCTGGGTCTTTGTCATTTTCACTTTGACCTTCTTCTGTTTGCCAGAGGTCTACCCGCCAGTTTTACTGAAGCGCAAAGCACAGCGACTCCGAAAAGAGACTAATGACTCGAGATTTTATCATCCACATGAACATTTGAAACTCGATGTCAAATCCGTTCTTACGAAGCAGCTCGCCCGTCCATTGCGAATGCTATTCACTGAGCCGATTGTCACTTGTATTGCCTTCTATGGTTCCTTTGTCTACGGTGTGATGTACCTAACCCTTGAGGTATTTCCAATTGCATTCCAACAAGCCCGGGGTTGGAACCACGTTGTCGGTTCTTTGCCGTTCCTTGGATTGTTGATTGGTGTCATCTCCTCGGTGGGTCTCAATATCTGGAACCAATATCGCTATAACCGGATATCCAGAGAGGCAAATGGGAAAGCGGTGCCCGAAGCACGACTTCCGCCTATGGCATTCGGAGCGGTTTTCATTGTCACAGGCCTCTTCTGGTTTGCTTGGACCGCTGAACCATCTCACCACTGGATCCTGCCATGTCTGGCAGCTGTCTTTATAGGCATTGGATTTAACTGCATTTTCCAGCAGTGTTTGAACTTCTTGATTGATGTGTATCGGATATATGCTGCTAGCGCCACGGCGGCTGTTACCCTTCTTCGGAGTTTGCTGGCTGCCGGGCTTCCCTTGGCGGCTAAACCGATGATCAAGGCTTTGGGGATTGGGCCTGCTATTTCCATTGTTGGAGCTGTGGCTGCGGTTCTATTGCCTGTGCCGTTCTTGTTTATGAAGTATGGCCCAAAGCTGCGGGGATTATCAAAGCTTGCGCCTGAAGATTCTTAGACTTGCCGATAACTGTTTTGTTCCTAATTAGTCCTAACCATGACCGTAGCTGTCTCATCCATATGGATCGGATACTTTCATCCCTAGAAAGAGGTTCGGTGTGCCTTCGGGATGTAAACCGAGAATGTATCGTATTCTAATGTTATCCTATCTCTGTAACTAGTCACAATGGTTCAATCGTAGATAGACTCGCGGTTGGTTATTGACTACAAAATTACTTGTATTACTTTGTATTGTTTTCTGGTTCATATCCAAAAATAAGTTATTGCATGCTGTATATCTATTTAGTTGTCTGTCTTTTTTTTTTTTTTTTTTTTTTTTTTTTTTCAAAAATGCCAAAATATAAATGATAACCAAAAAGTCCTCCACCATGAGACCAATGCGTAAACAACCATTGTAAATAAATTGATCATACTCCCCAGTTGCTGATTGATCATCTGGGCTTAAGGGTTAGCAGGGATGGGCTCAATCTCGAATCTTAGCTCTGTTGTACCGTCATTCCAAGCGACTGCTCGAGCGATACGGACCGTACCTCTGGGGAAACATGATATAAGAAGGATGGCGGCTGCTCTGCCTAATTTTGTGCCGAGGAGTTCCTCATACTCACGAGTGCCACGTTCGATTTTGAGGCATGGCTCATTACGCGCAGTGGAGAAATCGCGGCCATGCCTGGCATAAGCTACCCGCCTGATATATGGTGCGGTCTCGCTATTGACAATCATTTCAAACATGATATGTCTCAGAGTGCTAATGGGGTGGTCCCACTCATACACGGCCCTGGCGACTACATTCCACTGAACGCAATCGTGCCTGAAAATGCTTGTAGCAACAAGTACACCCGGTCCGACTATGTGTTCGAAGCCATTAGTCATGCCTGCAAGTCCAAACTTATCTAGGATCTCTTGGTCGACGACTGGGCTGAAAACCGTTGATTTCCGGTAACTATTTGGTGTGGTATCAAGTCCCATGGATTCGGGTTCGGCTCCTTGAAAAAGGTTGCCGAGATTTTGGAAATTTGATTCTTTAACTTGGAAACGACTTTCTTCCGGGAGGTTGTTCATCAGGTCGTGTAGGGTCGTGGTTGTCTGGGCAATATCGCAGTTTGGTTCGTTTGGGTCTTCTAACCAAGCTATTACTTGAGCTCCTTTTCGTCGGAATGTGGCCACTTGCGCATCCTTAGGCATTGGATACATGTCGTACTCGAAGTCGGAGAAGGAGTCCTCGAAGCCGGGAGAAGGAGAACGCACTACTTTTTTCCTTTGTGTTGGACTATCCAAGATCTCCTGACTGGAACGTATACGCTTAGCACGGGGGGGAACTACCAGCTGTAGCAGCTGGGCTCAATTCTTGACCTTCCTGTGCAGTATCCTCGACGCGTCCCCGCTTCCTGCTGTTAGGGGACTGCTCGGCTTGTTCGACTTGACCCGCGGGCGTTGTAGGTCTGTCAGTGCGGGATCGTGAACCGAAGTATACCATTCCCTCGGCTGAGATATCCTCTTGATCTTCCTCATCATCTTCTGGAAGTCCGGGGGCTGTAGGGAAGTAAAAAAGTTCATCACCGGGTTCAGCCTCTGGTATGTCAGTGTCGTCAACTTCGGCATCTGGTATCTCAATATCGTCAACATCCCTGGGCTCGTTAATATCAATATCACTCAATTCAGGTGTGATTCCCGTGTGAGAGCCTTCTCTTGAAGGCGGGAGTGGGGGGTATTCCTCCTCGCTGATGTTATCTTCACTGTCGCCGGCGGCCTTCGCGGCTTTACCCAGCTGTAGCCTCGCGGTTTTACTTAGCTTTGTCTTCGGGGACTTACCCGGCCTTGCAACTCCGCCTTGCGCGGAGACTCGACCTCGCCTTGCCGTTCGAGTTGGCGTTGGGGAGGATCGAGCTGGCCTTTTTGTTCGGACAATCTCTGAATCTCTGGGTGGGGGTGGGACCGGGCTTGCGGGCTGCTTAGGGTGCATTACGCTAAGTGGAATGTCAGGTCCAGTAGGCTGTTTAGTAACAGGGAGTACTGGGTTTTGGGAATTCTGGCCACGTCTGTTGCGGCGGCAGACGCCCAAGCACTTGTGGATACAGCGGCAGATTAGCGTCATTGTTGATGAATACGTCGGACAATTGTATTGTTGGGAGTAGTTGGAATGAAATGTAAGGCTGGTTGGATCTGTTGTGTTGTACTTGTTGGATGATACTGTTGGAATGGAGAGCAATAGACAGATATGGACGAAGTTATATACGTTTAGCCAATGTCTTTGTTTCTGCTTAACCTGGGTCTGACCCCTAGTCCTTAGAAGGACGAAACATCACGGAAATAGGCTGGTCCAAAATAAGACCAGGGTACAGACAATGGAGACAAGTGCAAAGAGAAGAGTATCCAAGACAAGATAAAGGGACTCGACCTTGGAGGGACAATAAGGGCGGCCAATTTGAAAATCCAAGGATAGAACTCAAGGAATGGACAAAGAGAAGTCTAACAATGCTCTTTCGATCGCACCTACGAGTCTGAAGTAAATAAAGCATCAAAGAAAAGGCTGAAACGCTTACCAAGTCCACCCTAGTTCCTCCAAGGCCGTCAAACAACAATATACTATGCTATTGTCGACTGTCTAAGCGATGAACAAAGTACAATGTTGAAGGACAAGCAAGATTTAATATTAGGTTGCTCCTCAAAGGGCGAACAATAAAAGAGTTGGAAATGAGATGTATCTTCAAAGAGAGCATACTATTTGTAGATCCCAAAATGCCCATAGATACTCTTGTTTGACCAAGTCCTTGAAATCATCAAGGACTTCTTGGATGTGTTGGCAGACAACAGTCGAACAATCAGATTTAGTTCTTTCTCTGGAATAACCCATTGTTCGACTATAATCATACCCTCGCGATGCTGAGACATGCCCGAGGAATGTCCTCTCCTGCGCAGTTCATCATATTCGGCTGAATTTTGGCAAAGTTGTTTGATCAAAACTGGGATAGACTCTGTTTCGTGATGCAGGATTTTCTCTCTAAGTTCTCGTTTTGCTAGGGTGCGCAGAAGCTCGAACAAAGAATGAAATATTTGACGCGAACTTTGTCATTCCTGTGATACAATTTGGTAGGTTTATAAAGTGTCCCTCAAAATGGAAGCCGGACACATTTTGACACTCGGCACTGATCATCGACGAGCTTAGTTTCGACATCATGTCGTGGTTGAAATCCAGTATTACTTCGTCGAGGCGAAGGCTAATCTCCTCTAGGATATTCTTTAACCACGTTAGAGTTCGAGTTTCTTTGACCATCTCATCAAATGGAAGGCGGTCATTCTTTGGATCCCAAAGCAAGATGCAGGGGAAATTGCGAGTCCCATAGGAGTGTCCAGATATTTTCGAATCGTTCATCCGGCCATTTGTGCTTTTGGTGGAGTTCTCTCGCTCGGCCGAAAAGAAAAAGTGTTGGAACAATTGGCCCGACGACGTTTTGGGTGTGAAGAGCAGGCTGGAGTGTTGTTTTATAAGCTCATCCAACGTGGATGGGTCCCTTATCCACACCGCTTGCACCTCCGCTGATTCTCAGGCGAATGAGGCAGCACATTAGCCCAGGAACATACAATACAGGTCTAGGCCTGTTCAAAGTGAGGAATGAAGACGCCCTATGATAATCTAAGCTGAGTTCTTCGGAGGCAGGGATCAACATGTAGGAGGGTGTCAGATCAAAAGTTGAGCCCGGGTGAGGGCAAGTTTTAATAAAGATGATTCGAGTATCCCGGGACATGATCTATCTAGGTAAGCCGCATGTGGACATAGTCAGGTAGTATGTATGTCGGGTGCCGCTGACGTCCCTCAATATATTAGTGGCTCAGCCGGTATCTGAGACCTGAAATGCCCTGGGGTTCCGAAGACTTACGGAGTACTCCGTACAAAGAATAGTATTCTTGTATTTCCCCCTGTACTATCTCTAATTAGTCTGGGAGTACAAGTAGGGTTTCATTGTTACCGGAACATTTCTTCTCATCTGATGAGCCTCAATAGGCGAAGATTGCCTTTGCGTCCATCGTACTTTCAGTGGCACATTTTCCATTCATTCGGGTCCATGCGGTGTATTTGGCGTATTTTGGCGTATTTGGCGCATGTCATAACAAAGACCGGGGTCTTATGTGCTGATTGGCCTAGAACCTTCGCTTTGAGGTTATCACGGTCTCATTTGCTGACGGATGGTTGCATCGGTCTTGGCTGGCTTGGCCATGTCATTTGCCATCCAACCGCATTCGTTTTTTCTACACTCTCCATAATCTATCGGCAGTGGCAGTGCCGACGAGTTACAATCATGATATGATTCGGAGAAAAACGGAAATGAAGGCACTTAGGGAAAATAATCTACCAAATATGGTAAATATGGTATATCAGTATCCTTGTTTTGAGGCTTGCGCCATCTTTCAAGCCATAATACAAGTGATGACTACTATCCGTACAGAGTACCTAGGTACCTATAACGCCGAGGTATTTATTTTGCAAACGGTACATTACATCCAACCACATTTAACCACAATCGATGTAGTTAGCGTTGAATTGTGTTGACCAGTGACAATCAACCAAATCCGCCCCCAAAACCTTCCCCCATGGAACTTCCCACATCCCCGCGTCGCCCGACGCCTTCCCCGTATCTTGGCCAGCCCCAGACATTGGAGACTACCCCAGTCATCTCGGATTACCGCTTTTGTCAATCCGGGGGAAAAAGAAGAAAGTGGGCTATATATACCCGCTGATCGGCATCTTTATCATGTCCGTATTTTGTTTCGATCTTCTCATGTTTGAGCATCATGTTCGGCATTCCGAAGTTCTTTGGCTGGAGAGGCCGGTCTCTTAACTTGGCTATCAGTTCCCTTGGTAGTCTTGACTTCTTGTATGATACTATTCACTATTCTTTAATTTAATTTTTTTGAAACTTGCGACTAACCATTATAAGGCTGTTCGGTTATGATCAAGGTGTCACGGGTGGTCTGCTAGACCTGCCTTCCTTCATCAAATACTTCCCCGATATCAATCCAAACGACCCTACAATCGCCGGTGACGAGTTCCAACCCATTCGATCGCAGCGCAGTTTGAATCAAGGCATTGCAGTCGCATCGTACAATCTGGGATGTTTCTTCGGCGCCGTCTTGACTGTCTTCATCGGTAATCCGCTAGGTCGACGAAGGACTATCTTCTGTGGCTGTGTAATCATGGCTACTGGCGCTCTATTGCAATGCACCGCATATTCTCTTCCTCATTTCATTGTCGGTCGAATTGTCACTGGTGTTGGTAATGGCATGAATACAAGTACTGTACCGACATGGCAGTCCGAGTCAGCAAAGGCACACGATCGTGGTAAGATGGTGATGATCGAGGGTATGCTCATTACTGGAGGTATTACTCTGAGTTACTGGATTAACTACGGTGAGTTTGAAACACCATCTTCGATAGAACCACGACATGCATTTACTAACATAATCCTGAATTAGGCATGTCATTCATTGGGGATAAAGAGGTCGCCTGGCGATTCCCTCTCGCTTTCCAGATCACTTTCGCTATCATTATCTTCTGCTCTATTCTCAATCTGCCCGAGTCTCCAAGATGGCTTGTTATGCAAGGCCGGACAGACGAAGCTTTGGAGATTCTCGAGTGTCTAAATGAGAAATCTCGGGATGACCCCTACATCAAGAACGAGCTCATCTCCATCGAAGAAACTGTCAAGGAAATGAGCAAGGGTTCTTTTAGGAGTCTGTTCAAGATGAGCGAGTATCGAGAATTCCATCGCGTGGCACTTGCCTACGTCAATCAGATGTTCCAGCAAATTTCTGGAATTAATCTTATCACTTACTACGTGAGAATCTCTAGCCCCCTCAACTAATACGCTAACCCTATACTAATCAACTTCATCAGGCCCCTTCACTATACGCCGAGATTGGTCTTGGAAGCGGCAACCTTCCAAAGTTGCTCGCTGCTTGCAACGGCACGGAATACTTGATGGCTGCGTTTATTCCTATTTTCATTATCGAAAAAGTTGGACGTCGTCCACTGATGCTGTTCGGCGTATGTTACCCACTCCCATCCGGCCTCAAATCCCGCATGAACTAACCAAGAGTTACAAAGGCCGCTGGCATGTCAATTTCAATGGCCGTTCTAGCCGGCACCAACTACCGCTTGACCGTACTAAACGATAGCCGCGCCGGTATCGGACAAGCAGTGTTCCTATTCGTCTTCAACACCTTCTTCGCCATCGGTTGGCTCGGAATGACCTGGTTGTACCCAGCCGAGATTGTACCTCTACGAATTCGCGCTCCAACCAACGCACTAGCCACCAGCGCCAACTGGATCTTCAACTTCATGGTCGTGATGATCACCCCCGTTGCATTCGAAAATATTGGATACAAGACCTATATCATTTTCGCTGTCATGTAAGATCTAACATCCGCTATGCCTGCATATTAAACCAGAACTTGAAACTAACAACCGACAGAAACGCTTTCATGTTCCCATGCGTTTACTTCTTCTTCCCGGAGACTCGATACCGTTCCCTGGAGGAGATGGACGCCATCTTCAAGAAGTCGACTAATATCTTCGATGTCGTGACTATCTCCGTTAAGGAACCTTACCGCTATGATAAGCATGGCGAGCTCAAACCTGAGTATCTTGAGGAGGCTATCCGTCAGGCGAGCGTTGATGTGCACATCGCCGGCGAGAAGTTTGATAGCGATGAGAGTGGTCATGAGAAGAATGGTCATGAGATCAAGTCTTGAGGTTGGTTGTGTACGTTGGTGTATATTGTTTATACCCGTGGTGCTAGTGTGATTTGATACTAATATCCCACTGAATCCGTTTCTGTATGTATGGCTTTAGATGTAAAGGGAGGTAATTACACAGTTTCTATGTCGAATGTTGATTATAAGGTCAATATATGTTGATACATATTTATAAGACGAACTTTCCTTTTCATGATAGATAGTAATTCTCTTCTCAAGTGAACAAGTCACTCTGTGCTAGCAGTGTATTAACATAAAGACATCGATGGACGGAAATGGTAAAATTCGTGAGTAAATTGTAATTCTACATAGCTATGAATATAAACTATCTGTGTTGGAACAAGTCGAAGGATCCGGGTATTCCAGCTCATCTCAGCGTGACACGCATATTATGCGAGATCGATGTCAATCAAGGGACTCGAGGAAGATGCTTGCGAGTTCGAAATCGAAGAGAAACAAAAAAAAAAAAAAAAAAGGTTCACGGGACACAACCCAAATAAAATAAAAAGGAGGCAAAAGAAGAGAAAAAGTAGGTATGAAAAGACGGCCGGTCTTTTGTTAACATTACAAGTATGCCAGTGGAAATACAGACAAGATGGCATGCAAGACACGGACGGAAGATTCAGAAGATGAAAACAAAATAACGGATAAATGATTCAGATGCGGGGATATGCACCCAGCGCAAAGCATAGATTCAAGGGGGGTTCGTTCGTCACGGACGCGGGCTGTAGGGGGGATATCAAGATCGAGGCGAACAATGTGGTCATATTAGGCAAGCTCATTTCCGTCCAGCGGGGACACTGACACGTCAGCGGGAATGCCTATGTTCTGCATAAGACGGAGGCTCTATGCGGAGGTGTGGGTCATTCAGATTAAGCGTCATGGGTGGGGACTGGCTTCCGCGAGATCGAGCCGGACGGAGAAGTCGGCGGGGAAATCGGCGGGGAAGTCGGCAGGGCTGGAAGCTCGCTGGTGGGAGCAGGAGTAGGAGCGGCTAAGGGACTTGGCATTGATACAGCAGCAGGAGCAGGCGCAGGCGCAGGAGCCGCCGAGGGACTGGAAACTTGCAGCGCGGCGGGCACAGGAGCGGGAGCAGGATCAGCAGCGGCTAATGGACTTGAAACGGAAGGCGCAGCGGGAGCAGGGGCCGCAGGGGCAGGAGCGGCCAATGGACTTGAAACAGCAGGTGCGGCCGGCGCTGCCATGGGCGGAGCGACGTTGCTGGCACTATTGCTGCGTTGGCGTTGGTTGACAGGCATCACAGGCCGCTGCATTCCAGGAGGCCCGTATGGACCAGGGCTCATCGAGCGCGGGCCGGGTCCAGGAGACATAGAGCGAGGCATTCCTCCAGGCCCTGGGGACATTGCGCGAGGGCCGGGCATGCCGCCAGGTCCGGGGGACATTGCGCGTGGGACAGGTCGCCCTCCTGGTCCAGGGGACATCGAGCGAGGGCCGGGGGACATTGAGCGAGGACCAGGCATACCTCCAGGTCCGGGGGACATTGAGCGAGGACCAGGCACTCCTCTAGGCCCAGGCGACATGGAGCGGGGAACTGGCGGGAACTGAACAGCAGATCCAGGGCCGGGGTAAGGACGACCGGGCGGAGGTCCAGAGAAGCCAGGGCCACCGGGGGATCTCGGACGGGCATCTTGGGGATAGAATCGCGGACCCGGCGGACCCCCGGGCATCATTGGACGACCGTCAGGGCCCATAATAGGTGGACCGCGAGAGCCGGGAGGGCCAGGGGGCGGGCGGGCGCGAGGCATCACAGGGCGAGCCGAGAGGCAAGACCGTGGAGCAACTCCTTGCTGGGAGTTGTTGAGGCGCATACAGAGAGCCCATCCATCATCGTACTCGTGAACCATGCGCACAAGCGCTCCTGCGCGAAGTCCAAGCTCGTCTTCCATAGAGGGGTTAAATTCCAGTTGCACACGGTAAACGTTGTTAGGGGGTGGTGGGCCAGCAGCCATGGGCATGGCGCCTGCAGCGCCAGCTGATGCAGCGGCAGCGTCGGTAGGGATTGTCGTGGATTGGGTTGAGCTAGTGGGGGAATGGCCGCGTGACTCGGCGGAATGGTAGCGCTCCGAATCATTAGACGCTCGAGATGAAGCGGCAGCACCTGCTGCAACACCCACGGCTGCGGCACCGACCGCGGCAGCTGCGACGGTTGGTGTAGATGTACCAGATGTACCAGTGGTCGGTCCAGACGGTCCAGTGGCTGATTCGGCAACCGAAGGCGCGGTCTGCGTAACAGGGGTAACAGGGGCGGTGGCTGGGTTGAAAGGATTGACGGGGTCACTGAAGGGGTCAGAGTGACTCCCAGCAGACTTCGGCGGAGTAGGAGGCGGCGATTCGCCAGTAAGGTTACGAGAGGCGACGGGGGCCGAGGCAGCTGTAGCACCTGCGGCACCTGCAACAGCAGCTGTGGCTGGGCTCAAAGCTGCGGAAGCACCAGCGGTGGTGGGGTTCAAGGCACCGCTGCCGCTCAGATCAGGCGCGAATTGAGTGACGGGACGAACATTAAGCTGAGGGGGAGTCGAAGGCGTCTGCTGCTTGGAAGGAGGAGGCGGTGGGAGCGAAGCAGCCATACCCTCTGGTAGGCCTTCGCCACCGAAGGTCTTCTCATTCTCCTGCTGGTATCCTTCTTGGCTTCTCTTCTTCTTGCGGATAAAGAAGAAAATCAGGGCAGCGATCAAACCAACACCGAAGATGACACCGATGGCCACACCAGCCTTCGCACCACCAGTCATACCCTCGGAAGTAGTAGTTCCAAGAGCAGTGCTCGAGGCCGATGCGGCAGAGTTACTACCCGATCCGGTTGAGGTTGCCGCAAGGAGATCGTTGGCATCCTGGGAAGATTCCGAGGTGGACGATGCCGATGTCACAAAGGAGGTTGCTGTGATAGGCGCCTCCGACTCACTGGTATTGGTTGCCTTCTTGGTGGTCGTTTCAGCCTCGGTGGTCTCGGTGGTCTCCTCTTTAGTTTCATGAGTGGTGTGGGCCACGGTCTCTTTGGTGGTAGTCGGTTCCTCTTTCGTCTTGGTTGTGGGCGCCTCATCCGTAGCTTTGGTCTCGGTTGTTTGTTCCTTGGTCCTTGTAGGCGCGACAGGAGCACCAACGCCGGCGTGCGCCTCGGTGGCAGTGGTGTGTTCGGCGCCGGTTCGATAACCTCCCACTTCACCTTCAAAGTCCGGATCCATGGTCTTGTAAACGATCACGACATCGCCTCGCTCCTCCACGACTCCTCGTTCTTCAACATTTCCTCGGTCCTCTAGTTCCTCCACATTGCGTGCATGGTTGTGGTGCGCATGCCCGTGCATGTTGTTGGCTCCAGTATCCTAGGATATCGTGAAGCGGTGATGAAGGTTAGGGATGGGAATCCAACGGGTATGGATCCTAAAGAGAGGGATAAGCCCGGATTCCAACGCGAGCGATTTCCGAGAATCCGCGTCTCTGGGTCGATTCCAACTGTGGAATGTGGATGGAAAGAATGGATGACTGAGATCGAGCACCGCCGATCGTCAAGTCGAGAATAAAAGAAAGGACGTCGACTTCCAGGTCGTACAAATTGAAAGAAAGGATGGAGAAGGATAAAATAAGCAAACGGCAAAAGAGAAAAGCCTCAATACGAGAGGGCCCTGGAGTCCCACGAGGAACCGAAATGAGATCTTGGGACCCTGTGTATACAATAACATGCTAACCCAAATAGGAAGGGATGAACTTCCATTTCCTCACTTTGATTGGCTATCAAATGGTGCCTGACCCGAAGGAGTTACCAGACCCATGGCCGAGAACCCTTACAGACCCCACCTTATTTTAACTGGCTGGACCTTTTCCGCTTGGACAGGCTCCTTTGTTACCTAGGTACGTACTCTATACCTACCTACCGAGGGATGGAGTATTATGGATAGTGTACTCTGTACTAGTTCAGCTTGAAATATCCCATAATTAATCTATAATTTACAACTTCTCGGCAAAATACACGGGAAGTCATCACTCGGCTCTTGTTAGCTCCTTTTGCCCGCCCCCAAACGGCATATTCGCTAAAGTGTACCTAGGTAGCCTCCGAGGGGCACAGACTTCTCCATGATTGTTTCACCTTAAGGACAACAGCCACATTTAATTGATCGCTCACTCAGCCCGTAATTTCCGGTGCCGGAAATGCAATTTTAATCAAAGTCAATTTAATCAAAATAATGCGTCCATGGATGGCCCTTGTGCGTGATTGCTGTCTCTTATGCAGGTCCTCCCTCAGGGGCTACGCTGCACCTCGGAAAAAAAAAACCATCGTATTAATATTTTGTTTACATCCAGGGCACTGTAAGATACAATTGGTGTAAGCGATACATCTCCATATTTGGTACTCTCCATATGGTGCGTAAATTATTTTTACTTCAGTTATGCATCTGTATGTTAATAATTCAGGCATAGGTTCCACGCTTGTAATTCCCCGATCCACTCGTGCGGTATAACCCGCGATGAAGTGTGGCGTAGCTCCATCCATCCCCCCATGTCATACCACTGCCTCAAGTCCGAGTAAAATATGGATGGGCAAGGGCCTAAGCCTATGGTTAGAGGTTATTGCAAGACATCGGATCAGGTCACATACCTCTGTCGCCGAGAGTCTTTCGCTGCTCTCATAGCGCAATAGGTGGCTGACTAAATCACGGCCATTCGAGGATGCACCCGGAAGGATATCCTCCCAGCGCTGCGTGGGGAACGAGTGGAATTCCACTTTCCCCCAATCTGGCAAAACTCGGACTTCCTATTCAATCGTTATAAATCACTTTTTCCATTCGTCAAAGGTGTGATATAATGCTTACCGGCCAGCGCTGTTCATCCGGAGTGCCCAGTAGTTTGAAGATGGAGAAAATCAGCGACAGATCGCTACCCACAGGCCCCGAATCAAAGAGCTGGCGGTGACCAACGGCAATAGCTTCTGCAACTACACAGCCGGCAGCCCACATGTCGAGGGTTGTTCCGTACTCTTTGAGCCCGAAGAGAATCTCTGGGGGTCGATAACACGTGGTGCCCACATCCGTGATTTTCTGCGTGGGTGGCTCAGATCCCGCATCGCCTTCTTTCCATGAAATGCCGAAGTCTGCCAAATAGGCCGGTCCGTTGGGGGAGTCCATGAGAATATTAGAAGGCTTGATATCCCGATGGAGTATACCCATGCTGTGGAGATGGGCAAGGGCACAGAACAGGTCTCGCAGAATCGATCGTGTTTGAGCAGCAGTTACCATGTCTCGCCGGAGCAACTGCTCGAGGTCATATCGTATAAAAGGAAAGACCAAGACAAACCTGCCACCATCAAGATTAAATGTCTCAATCAATGGAATTATATGCGGGTGAGAAGCTTCGCGCAACAGCCGTGCTTCACGGTGGGCATCGTGGGGGGCTGTCATCATATGGGGAATAGTGACTTTTACAGCCCGAACAGTCCCATCTTCCCACTTTGATCTGTAGATGGAGGAGTGCAGACCACCATAGTGGTGGGAACAAGATCGATATTGACCGATCACTTCCCCAGTTGAGGTCTCTGATTCTTCATAGTCATCCTCGACATGCTGTGGGCTGCCAATGGCCAGGTTTCTAGGGCCTGCCGATTCAGCATCATCAATTGCCTTTTGGCAGATGGAATTATATTCATCCTGGAGGGAATAGGGTTAGTTGAAATCATTTTTATTGTGAATTTTTAGGAAACGTAGAACTCACTTTTGAGGTCGCCGTGTCATACGCCTCGGTTTCAAGCTGTTTCGCTTGGGCCATAGCTTCTGCAAATGCGGAGACAGGCGACGAAGACGCTTGCTGGTAAGCCGTTGTGCTACACGCGAATCAATCGAGTGCTCATGTTGGCATATACGTAAAAGTCGCTTACAGAGACTGCATGGCTCGCAGCCGGTCCGTGAAGCCGAAATTGTCCTTCCAGGACATGGTGGGCGAGAACCACTGCCGTGACTTCTAAATTATACGGCAGTTAATGCACCAATGTAAGCGAAGTAAATATAAGGGGAGATATATTCTATCATGGCGAATTGCTATCAGATTTCAACCTGAGGCAGCAAGGCGCCAACATCAACCATCAACCGCGTGGATGATGTCATGTGACCAATCAAGGAGCGGTTACACTTCCCTGACGTAAATAATAGCTATTTAGGCATTGTGGTTGATTAGATACCGCCAAGTGCGGTAATACCATGACACCCTCCGTCATTCATCCCCATTGCCGTCCTCGGCCAACATCGAATGACACACTACCAACTGACACTGGCATTCGATCCCAATCCCGCATTTATTTTCCTTGGTTGATTGGGCTATTCTTGCCGTGAGCACAGGAATCTCTTGGTTTTCTCTTTTATGTTATGCGCTCCGTGCGCTACCTTGCTCAACACCTCAATACCCCGGAATCTGAATTATGGACCTCTCACGGCAAGAGTACCCAACCCTGCTGGTAAGATTGAGCAACGCGAGATTTGTGGCTATCTAGAGAAGCATTTAGATACCGATAATTGATGGTATTTCTTTTATCTAGGGCACCCTGCATCCCGGCCAAGCTACCACCGTCCTGAGCGATCGCATTCGAGTCATTAACAAGGTCAATGCGGATATCGCGGATTATCTACAGGTATGACAACCTGCGACTCGACCCAACAAGATTACTGGGATGGGATCTACAATGGAGAGCGACATTGGTGTTGACGAATTGGCGATAGGAACGACGCCGCGTTGAAGAAGCATATGCCCAAGGGTTACGGAAGCTATCGCATCGGCCACAGTTGGACAATGGAGCTGCTCTTGGGTAAATTGACCTCTCCCTGGAAGATTTAAGTTCTTCGGCGCCCGAGAATGATTCTGACCTGTGAAACTAGCATTTTCCAAATCCCCTGGCAACGCATCATCAGTGCCACCGAAACGCTCGCCGTGTCGCACGAGACCCTTGCGATCAAGATCGAAGAGGATATCGAACGACCTCTGAGGGAATTTAATAGCAAGAATCCGGAGATGAAGTCGATGCCTGGTATCCAGAGTAATCTGGCGGGGTTGGCGAAGAATGTGGAGACGGCACAGAAGAAGGTGGACAAGGCTAGGGCGAAGGGTGTCAAAGGCGCAGAGAAACTTTCTAGCGAGATTGCCAATGCCGAAGAAGTCCATCAGCAATGGGATTCACGGGCTCCCTTTGTTTACGAGCAGCTTCAGGCCGCCGATGAGACCCGGCTCAACCACCTTCGGGATGTCCTAACACAACTAGAGACCCATGAGCTTGATCAAGTCGAGCGTGGTCGCCAGGCCGCTGAAAGCTGCTTGAATATTCTCCTCAATGTGGAAACAGCGGATGAGATCAAAACCTTTGCTGCTAGAATGGCGGGTCCGCGGGTCCCTGTGACGCAGACTATAGCCAGAAGTCAGACTGAACGGGCAGAGATACCTTCCGCAATTGAACCATTATCTGAGCGAACCCAGACTGCGCCGCCCGAGCGTCATTTCTCCACGCCACCAACAGAGGCACCGCTTCCGCCCCCTCCACCGTTCCAGGATGATGCGGCAAGCCAACTATCAGAGACATCCGAGAGACCTGCTGTCGCTCACACACAGCCAGGTAAGTTTTACAATTGGGCTACGATCCCAACCTAGATGCAACATTGCAGTTCTCACGATTTATCTAGTACCGGAAGCACAGCCACGCCATACTCCCTTGGGGGGACTGAGACGTCTTGGCACTGTTATGAATAGGAGAAAGAGCATTGTCGGACCCTCGGCTGGAACTTTTGACCGAAAGGCAGAAAAGAAACGTAGCCCCTTTGCTGCATTCAAGCGAGCCGACTCCTCTCGCGATATGCAAATACCTGAATCTCCCCCATGACTGCCACTGACCGGCCGGGGACATCGTTTACCGATCAATCATCCTTGCGGAATCCTAGTGTGTCGCAGGATCACGCCGCATTGGACACTGCTGCACCTGTGCCTGAAGTGCACCCAGAGACCCCCAGAAATGGAGCTGCGCCAGAAGCCCTTGGGCTCGCTAATAACCATGTCAATCAGGTAATTTGCAAAACAGCAATTTAACTATTGCGGTGCAACAATCACGTACTAATCGATTGTTTAGCCACAGGTTGATTCAGAAGGGTTCACCCAGCGACCTGCAACCATTGACGAGATCACGCGTGCGCAGAACGAGGCAGCGGGGTAGGTGAACTTGTGCCAATTGTGGTGAACAAATACTAACAATCACTACAGCCTAGATGAATCTGGACTGAATTTGACGATTCGGGATCAGCCCATTTTCGAGGATGAGAGCCAAGCGAAGCAGGCCATGGATGATATGGCAAATACCCTCCGAATGGTTAGTGACAGGCTTCACTACTTAGGCAATGTGTATAATACTAACTTTCTTACGCAGAGGGCTCCGCAGACAGGAATGAGACGCAATGCAGGCACCATTCGCGGACGCCGTGATGTTCGCAATACAGTGTTCGTTGCTTCACCTGGCAATGAGCTTCCGCCATCTTCGGCAGGATCAGAGTCTCAGCCACCAACCTCGCCAATCAGGCACATAACCTCCCCCAGCATTGCCCCCAGCACTGCTACCGATGATCACACTTTATCGGATACCACCTCGGTTCGCTCCGGACACGCTACGCCTGGCCCGGGAGCTTCGGTCCATCCTGATCTATACGAATCGGGACTGAATGCTTCAGTCATTGAAACCATCAATGCGTGGTTTTCAGAGGGCAACGTTACCAAGTCTTTCGTTGTTGGTGAGCTTGCCCTAGCAAACAACCCTACACCTGGTACTGCGGTAGACCATACACGCATCCGACTCGACAACTTCCAAGTGCTGGAAAAGGTAGCCGCCAATCCTCACTTCGTACAGGAGGTTTCCACAGATGCTGGCGATGACAAGAGAGGCGAATACGATATCCAGCTGGGCAGCATTTCCCGCCCCATGCCGACAGTCGCATTTAAATATCAACTGCATATCGATCCAGCCAATCCCTCCGCCTACTGCCCCGTGATATTCAAGCCAGTCTGGAACATAGAAGAATCACAGGCGAGCGCCATCATCTACTATACGCTCAACCCATCCTTCCTCTCCCTCACAGCCGAGTCAGTTATCCTCAAGAACCTAGTCTTGACTATCAATTTGGATACAGCCACCGAGGATAAAACTACCAAGCAGCCGCGTGAGTCAGTCGCCCACGCCATCAGCGCCGCCATGTACCCCAATACAGGCGCCACCTTCCGTCGCAAAACCTCTACCGTCACTTGGAGAATCCCAGAGCTGGAAGTCAAGGCCCCCACAACCCCAGGCGCAGACAGCAAGTTCCTTGTCCGCTTCGTGACGTCCACCCCCGGACCTCGCAAGGGTACGGTCGAAGCAAAGTTCGAGCTCCGTGGCGCTGAATCCTCTTCTCAGCTTGGCATTAGCCGTGCTGCATCAGACGCAGAGCAGAGTGAAGCTGACCCTTTCGCCGACGAGGGGCGTGAGTCCCCGCTGTCCACGGTTTCATGGCTGGGCGTCCCGACTACACGCAAGCTGATCGGTGGAAAGTATGTCTCTTCCTAAATATGTCTTGAGCAAGGCGGGATGGAGCTATCCGCGCCTGGTCGTATATATTCCCCCTTTCGTGCAATCGTTCTTCTATTATCTGTCCACTGTCTGGATTACGTGTCAGGATACGCATCCCTACAGATAGGGCCCCAAACTGGGCCATCACAATCTGAGCATGATGCCATTACCTCTTTTTCTATTTGTTTTCCTCTGTCTTCCCCTCCTCGTCTCTTGTGTCCCGAGTATGCAAATAGCGATTCTGATATTGATGGATTTGTTCGTTGTCTGTTGAGTTTGCATCTTGTTTTGTGTGGTTAGTTAGGCATTTGCTTCGCGTACATATGTATGTAGCTCTATGTACTATTTCAAAGCACAGGGTTATTAGTGACAGGGCACTTCATCGTGCTTAATAGGCATTCGCATGGTCCATCGCATGCCTACTTGGTGCAACATCCAGCCTCTATGACTTCCCCTTTCTTTGCCCCTGCTCCTCTATTCTTGACATTTCTATAATGATATTGAAAGGAGAAAAAACTGTAATTTTACAGAAAGGCTGTATAGAGATTTATAGCTTTAATGCCCGTTCTACTTCTACTGTCTGAGAGGACCTCTAGGTCGATAAGCAGGGAGGCGTCTACCTTGCAGATCCCCCTATGCGAAGAGAAAATCTGCGCAATCGCAAAGATGGTTCCTAGCAGATTGTGTGCCAATTGCTTTTACTCGTGGCTTTAATTCAAATGAGCAAAATAATCATATGGGTGTCTTATTCAACGCCAATTTTCCTTTGTTCAACGTAACTGAATGTCAACCAATAAATCGTATGCCTCCTCGCTATCACTCTCGTATCCCCCTTTACCAGTTAAAGTCTTGCGGATTTCATGGGCTTGCTCTAGCAGTTCTTTAAACTCTTGCTCCTCGTTAGGGTCCTCAAATCCGGCCTGGCTCTTGGACCTCCACATTAGATAAACGACACGGGCCTTGTGAGCATCTGGGGATTGTCGAAGGTTGATAATCGCTAATGCCTCTGTTCCGTACTGACTGCAACACAATTAGCCCTTGTTTTTAACATATGAGGGACAATGAAGACACATTACATCGCAGCGTCTGTCTCTCCTTGTGCCAGCGCAATTGAACCCAAGCGATATTTGCAGCAAGCAATCATTAAAGATGTCGGACCCTCATTTGAGATAGTTTGCCATTCGTGAGCTTCCTGTAGAGTCTCTCTTGCCTTTTCAAGGTTTCCGTCTTTCAAACAAACTCTGGCCTTGTGAAACAGGTTGCTAGGTGCGAATTAGTAGCAGAAACGTGATGACCAAGAAATACAGATCCTTACAGCGGTGCCTTGGTAGCAGAAGGATATAGCCCGTCTGCCTTCGCATACCACTCTTTTGCCTTCTTTGTACATCCCTTCTCGGTAAATGCCCTTGCAGTGTTTTTCATGATGACTGATTGAAAACGAATGGATATCCGATTAATGCCATCTACAACGCCCCAATCAAGGGCCTGGTATAGGTAACTCAGTGCAGTGTCATACCGTGCCATAGAAATGTTGAGATTGCCCAAATTGCTCAAAATTCCTGCCACATTTTGGTCTCCACGCCCGAGATGGGCTTTGCGGATAGCAAGACACTGCTGTAAGTATCGCTCGCTCTGGTCAAAGTAACCACGGTGTCCCCAAAGTCGACCTGCCGAATTGCAAAGATGGGCCCACGACAACGGTGCGGTTTCCTTCATATTGTTGGTCTCCATTGCACGGAACGCATTGGCTAACATGATCTCAAGTTCATCAAGACCCTGTCGTTCTGCACAATACCAAGCCGCATTTGTCATCAATTCCACATACTCTGCTGATGGAACTATGCCTGTCTTGTGCTTTGCGTTCAAAGCAGTATTCAAGTTGTCTCGTAAACAGTAAACGTGCTGTATATATCGAGCACAGATCGGCATGCGACTCTCAAACCTCTCGCCCTTATCCTGTTTTGGAAAAACTTCATTCAACAACACCGAAGCCGCATCGAAAGCTTTCTGCCATGCTTTGCTGTCCAGTTGGCTTTTGTACTCATCTTGGATGAGGCGATGGATATTTATCGTTTCATTACTAGGAACGCGCTTTATCAAGGCGAGTGCAATAAGTTCCTCAGTGACATCATCAAATCTGAACAAAAGTCAGTATGTGTAACGCTCAGCGGGCAAGTAAAGTGAGAAACAACTCATCCTCATCCTGGCAAAACCGAAGTGTCTCGGGTATTTCGAGATCTGGATTCACTGTGAAGATGTCCTCTGTTATGATATCTGGTGATATAAGAGCAAGAACACCTAGCATGTGATGCGAATTTGGAGATAATGCTCCAAAGGACATTGAAAAAAGATTTCCGAGGGTGAGATTGTATCCCCCATGAGACCATTCAGGTTTGAGATTTGCAAGTAGTCTCTCTCGATTGGCTTCATAAGCCCGTAAGAACCGACGGAAAGACCACATTTTGTTATGCATGAGGGCTACCATCAGATTAATGCTCAGTGGGTGGCCATGCAAAGTCTGCGTAAGCTCAAGAGCCGCTTCTCTGTCTGCTTGTGACAGTACACGATCTCTGAGGAGGAATAAAATAAACTCCAGTCCAATATCTGGAGGAAACTCTCCAACTTCAAGCGACTCACGGCCCCAATTGAAGGTGTGCTTGCGTGCGGTGATGATAGCCGCGCCGTTCTTGGCCATTCCAGGCCAATATTTATTGAAGATGGCCGTGTCCTCCGCATTGTCATAAACTACGAGCCATCGAATGTCTGGAGCCAACATTTAGCCCCATCAATCAATAAATGCAGATCGGCAGTGTCCTACCTGTCTCCTGAAGCCACTTGATGAGAACCATCCGGTTTTCCGCATCTTTGTTTGACTCTGCGCCCGGTAAACCTAGCCATTCCACGGCCGCTGAGTTAAAGCTCTCTTGCATTGACTCCTCCGTTTCACCGTTAAACCACAGAATAACGGGAAATATTGCTGTGTGCCTGTGTACAAATTCAATGGCTATTTGTGTCTTTCCCATGCCACCGAGTCCATGTAAAGCAACTGATAAGAGCCCAGTGGGAAGGGGCTCTTTGTCGAGCTGAAGCTTGGTCTTTAGGTCTTTGATGTGACTTTCCCGACCGAAAAAATTGGCATTCGGTGACGCTGGAATCTTATGACAAGTCGTCTTCCCTCCTGGTAATGTATTACTGCTTTGCAGAAGCACTTCGTCTCGAAGAGACTGGGGATTGGATTGTAGGAGCTTAAGTTGCAATGACTTGTGCTTTTGAGTGTTCAAAAGTATTTTCGAAATTTGAAGACATTTGTCAATTGTCTCCTTGATCATCTCCACTATGTTGTCACTACTATCCTCAATCGGTTTCCAATGTTTGCCTTGGATCTTGTCTAATCAACGTTAGAAACTCATACTTTCATACTTTCCAAGTAGATATTTTCCAAGATTGGATATATCTGCAGAGAACTCTGTACGTACTCGGTACATCACGGAACAATGAAATAATATTCAACCAAAGGATCATGATTTTGTTGTGAAGCAGGATCGAATCTTCAAGGATTTTCTGGGGTGGAGTATTCTTGGTGATATCGTTCAAAGCCCCCAAGTGGGAGCCGACTGCTTTCAAAAGCTTATGAACCCGAGTCAAAGAGTCAATCGATCTAAAAGATACCTATGCAAATGATTGTTAGGTATTCACGTATTTCAGGTATTCACATCATCATCGAAGATTGGATTTGAAAATATCTACCTTGATCACCAAATAAAGAAGACCCCACATCAGTGACACATCGACATTTCTTTTCATCATCTTGACAAACATTGTGGCGAAGGTATCGTAATGAGTCAATGTAAATGGGAGAAGATAGAGCACCTCAAGCTGGGATTCATTTCCGGGGCCGTGCTGAGATTCGAGACGGGCTATGAAGTCAGACAAAGACTTGACTTGAAGTGCTACCGCTAGCTCGTCATTTTCGAGATCTTTTTTGCAACGATCAGTAGTGGCTTTCCAGGACTGGTGAAATAATGCGTCAAAATCACTGACCCAGTTAGTAGGGGTACCCTAAGTAAAATAGATGGAGTTTCAAAACCTCACAAAATGTCGTCCGGTTCCTTGGATGAATCCACGTGTGTTCCAGTGGGGGATGGCAGCCCACTGTTATTGGGACGCATACCAAACATTTTCAGCCTGGCGTATTCAATCTTCATGTCGGGAACTCAATAGAAGTAGTGAGTCTGAAATGGAGAAACTGTGTTGAATTTCCTAGGAATAACGGAGGGAGATAATCAATTACCATAAACGCTCATGTGAACATGCAAGATGAAGCGAAAGGAGGGGCAAAAAGAGCGCAACGTGCCAGTACAGTGCCAGTACAGTGCCAGCTGAAAAGTCACTGGCGGGACTTGAATAGATCACCGGACCGGTCTAACCCTAGAGGTGGCCTAAGAGTCAGCTATGGGGCTGATTGTATTGAAATGAACTTACCATAATGAACGTCTTATTGATTTCATTTAATTTCAGTTCTTACAATTGAAAGACCAAAGATAAATGTTCAAATAACAGCCACATTCCTGTTTTCTAGTACCTACCTAGGTATTTCTCTCCATACTCGCCGCTCAATCACTAAACACAATGACAATTATTTCGTCCAGTCCCCCTCGCTCTGTGTGTTTTAGATACATTGCAGACATTCCACTATGGACGAAAGAAAAACCATTTGTCGTTGACCAGATTGAGAAAGCACAAGGAGAATCAATTTCAAACATTGAATATGAAGACCATGAAACAGAAAGTCTGTATGATCTCCGTGGTTCTGAATCCCAACTTGACATCTATGAGCACTCCTTTCAGTTTTTCAACCGCCCAACTGAGTTGATCAAACTGCCCGAAGAAGAAATGATGGTTCCCTATGCAGAGCATGTAAATGATGTTCTGGGTGATATTTTCAAAACCGACCATGTCTTCACCTACGACCTCCGTGTATGTCTATTATCCCTTTTGCATTCAGTAAAGAAAGTGCCCTGACCCTGATGGGAGGGAAGTTTCGAGAGAATCGCACTTTCTCCGGGGATGAGAGCTTATCGACCAGCCGCCGAGTGCCATCTCCAACTGTTTCTATTGTTCATGGCGGTAAGACGTCCTTATTATCTCGGACCTATTTCCTCTGTTAATATGCAGTACAGATCATACGAGAGAAGGCGGCTGGAATCGAATTGCACGAACCCTGAGCGAGGAAGAACTGGCTGAGTATCAGTCGGGGCGTTGGCGAGCCCGAATTGTCAAGTAGGAACCAATTATTCATCAAGCTCGTTGAGAATACACATGGCTAATACTTTACGTGAATAAAATAGTGTGTGGCGATCGATACTTCCAGTCGTGGAAGACAGTCCTCTGGCATTTCTTGACCCAAGTACAGTGAACGAGAAAGACTTACTTGAGGTAGACCGAGTTTCTGCTGTCAGCTATGGGACAATCTACAATATCAAATACAACCCAAGCCACAAATGGTATTGGCTTAGCAAGCAGACATCTGAGGAGATCGCAGTCTTCGTTTGTTTTGACTCGGACCCTCCAGAGAGAAAGTTCAATTGTGAGTTATCAGAATGAATCTCATAATGATATACGTCTGACTGGGCCTAGTTTGTCCTCACTCTGCGTTCACCGATCCTCAGACTAGAGCGGACGTACCTTTTCGCCAAAGCGTGGAAACCCGTAGTATTGTTTTTACGCGTCTTTGATTTGACATTATCAGATTGTGCTGGCCTACCGGACTTGGGCTTCTTCATCTAGTTCTTCATTTTCATTTTTAATATCGTTACTCTACACTTCAAGAGAACCATTTGTTCTAATGTTGTTTGTTCTAATGTTCAGCAGGAACTACGGAGTATTTGAAAATTGTGTCCCATGATGCCCGTAACAAGTTTCATTACTGCCCTTGTAGACATGGATGTCTGCATATGCGTGTCTCATAACACATGAGACCAGCGAATGGAAATTTGGCGCTATCTTCGGATCTCCATACAAAACCCTCCATAGGCTTTCGAAGCACCTTCTGCGCAGACGGAGCTGCAAGAGGCAAACACGCTATTCGCTGACTGCCAGAAATGATACCCCCATTGGCCCTGTTTGTACAGGTATGGCCCCTATTTTTTCTAGGCCGTATCGTAACCCCTTAATACCGCCATGTTCGAATGAGTATTTTTGGCTGCTTACCGGTCTACGCCTATCGATATGTGCTCAATAATATGGCGCGTGGACAATAATGTGAGCCGACAAAATGAAGATCTTCCCCTCATTTTCCAATGTGGCTTGCCAACAAAGCAAGCCTAAGATCATGGAGGCTGGTATACAGTCCCTGTGATTTCCCATGATTTGGCCTTGCTGAGTTTCATCAGTATGGTGGTTATGCAGTTTGCATGGGGCCAAGAGAAGGCCACGAACTGCTCACATGCTCCACCCTCAACATCCAAGAGTAAAACAACACCGTCCATGCGATTCCGATTGGCCTGTATCCTTTGATTTGGGCACAAACCACAATAGATCAACATCCATATGCTATCTGTAGAGGATGAGCAGGTTACGGAGAGTCATTTACGGACACGCCGATCTGTCTCCTTTTTAGGCAGCCATCCGTGGTGCAACATTTCCCTTTAACAAGTGAGATAAACGACCGAAAATAAGACCCTGAGAGGCAAACCAGCACCACGTGGTTACGGGTCTTAGTGGGACTTTGATTTTCCCAGGCTCAGTGGCTCGGTATGCTGTTTAAACGTTCCTACGATGGCTTATCAGTCCACAGGTGGAAGAACCAGAAATAAGAAATAAAAATCGAAACTTCGCCCCCAAATGGTGCCTATTCCAGAAAGCGCTTAAGCCGATGGCTGACACATAGCCTCATTTCACGAGACAAGAGCCCTGGAGGCGCCCGAATGGATGTGAACCAACGTTCTCCTAGTAGCTTAATAAATACCAGTTGGTCTGATAATGTACAATTGTTCTTTCATATATTTTGACATATACTATTCTAGCCATTGACAAAATGGATATTCGCCATGCTTTTCTACGGTCAAAAGTCAAGGGCCCAGAAGTCGTCTGTCTTGATACCCAAAAGCTATGCGAAGCTGTATTCCGAAACCCCTCCAAAATGACTATATGCTCGCCAGAAACAATAACCTGGCAAAGGTTTTTGGAACGTCAGATTTTGACTCTGTGGTCTAGCTACTTTTCACCGGCTCTTTCAAGCCTGGACCACACCGAAAACACACACCAAGATGCGTTTCAACTGTTCCTGCAAATCTCGATTCTTTTAAGAGATACCCAGCCCCTTGAAACCACCATTGATTCCATTGCAACAAAGTTATTCGCAAATTCTGGAATAAATTCCGAAGAGATACGCAACGCAAGAAGACATGAGATTCGCCAGGTGATTTTCGCCGTCACCGGTCTCCTCACTATGCTCTATACCCCCGCCCCAACTATCTCGGCTGGCAACTTTACCATTGTTGTTCCTGAAGATTTGGGATCGATGCGTTGTCAACAAAGTTGCGAAAAGGCACAGAATGCATTGTTTGGATTTTTAAAAGGCTTTGGAATCTTGCTACCAATACAGGGGGAGGAGGAGGAGGATAGCCCCGTGGAAGAGGCCAGCGAAGAACTCCACATCTCCAAACTGAATTATGCATCCTTGCGCAATATCAGCAACATTCAAATTTCCTGGGTCAATGACTTGAGCTCGCATCTATACTTTAATGACAAGAAGCAGGTACTCTCGCTGTTTCGGCTTCCCTCATTTTGTGTAGCACATTCACTTGATGAACTTGCTACGTCTCTATTTCACGGGTCGGTTGATTCGGCAAGGACTGCTCCACATCCCGTACCAAGCTAACTTTGGTGTCGGACAGAGTATTGAATTCACCATTAGCGAAACTCAGTGGAGACGGTGATCTAAAGGACTCCTGCAGCCAGGCCTATTTGGAGGAAGTGTTTTTAACCTACCGACTACTCTTTGGCTTGGACAAACACAGTCGGCGACGTTTCAAGTCGGAGCAAAAAGGAGAGCAAGATCATCAGGGCCACCCGATCGCTTCTTGAACAAACTCTGTGCAAATGCTCGTATGGATATGGATACAAGCGAGCGTCTGGAGGCTGCATTTCGCCCGGGTGGAGTTTATATCAAGCATAATGACTTTCCAATCTTTGGCGAGCGCCTGATGATTCTTCAGTCGTACAGCATACGCCAATCACCGAGTCGGTTTCGTGCATTCTGGAAAGATCGTCGAAAGCCCGCAGACTTTCTCAACCTGTGGGTAGTGATTATATTTGGTGCCTCTGCGTTACTGCTCTCTCTACTACAGCTTATTATAGCAATCATAGCGTTGGCGGTTGCATTTAAGCAGTTGGAGCAACGTTGAATTCAAATTTATAATCAAATCATCAAATAACTATATCAAATAAATAATGAAATATAACGAGTGACCAAGTACAAGACTGCGTTTCCCTCCAACCAAAAAGCTGTACCAGTCTGCTGTCTTCCCTTAGTCGAGCTTTCACTGACGAAATGTATCACCGAATCTTCACTGAGCTGAACTAAACGTGAATTGGGGTTAATATGATCATGGAAACCAGGGAAAATCATTTCAAAGACCGACCGATATCAACCACCCATGCTGACATGCTGGTCACGCTCCTTCTGGAGCCGGACTTTGCCAGTAGTGCATCGGTCCGTAGTCTGCTCATCCAACAGCTTTTTGATATCAAATTCGTCCTTCCACGGCTGTCGGAGTGGCAGCAGTTTAGCCGCAACATCAGCCGGAGCGGTCTCCGGTGAAGAGGCTTGCAAGGGAGTATTAGAGGAATCCAAGTTGTCTGACATTTTCGTCAAGAAGAAAGATTGATATTGGTAATAGGAAGATAGATCTTGAATATAGTATCAATACATCAAAGTCTAGGAAGAGAGCGAAAAGATCAGGAGCTCGGAGGGAGAGATCCCCAGATATAGCTGATGAAAGGCGGCTCTAATGAATTATTCCGTCACATGGATCGATCATACAAGGCTCTTGAGAAAACGGGTAATAAACAGTCCACGTCAGGTAATGGAATAACAGTCTTCGCGAACGGCCCGTCCTGCATAAGTGCATACGTGGCATGCGCCCGGGTGAGCGATGCAGCTGAAATGCAATGCCAAGGCCATAGATCCCCTCGATCCCCTCGCCCCCCCCACAACCGTGGATCTCCCCGTCGCTCCACCCATCTCCTCTTTGGCAACTCCTAAACCCCAAATCTGCCATGAAGGCATTCTCCAGTCTTTGGCTTTTCCCCGGTTTATACAGTAGCCTCTCGCTTGCAGAACTGCAAAGGCCTCTAAGAGTCGCGTCATTCCAACCTCTGTTTACATCTGAATCCACCTCGATGCGTTGCGCGACTATGGGCTGCAATTCCAGCAATCTGTCCCCCCTTTCACCAGTTGACCTGCTCTTCCTAGATGCGTCCGAGCTCCAGACTCGTCTCACGGAGCGAAAGTTAACCAGTGTACAGCTGGTCAAGGCAGGGCTGGAACAAATCAGACGAGAGAATCACCAGGGCCTAAAACTGAATGCGATTATTTCAACACCACCTGAGGAAGAGGTGATAAAACTTGCGGAAGAATTAGATCGTGAGCGGGAACAGGGACGTGTCCGCGGTCCTCTCCATGGAATCACAATCATTGTCAAGGTAGGCAATGGAGACCCATGCAAGCAGGGATGATGTTGTGTTCTAATGCCTTACTTGACAGGATGCCATAGGAAACCATCCCGAATTGAAAATGGCCACTACTTCCGGCTCTTATGCCCTCAAGACCTCGGTAGTGGCGGGTGACTCGCAGGTGATTGAAAAGGTAGTGTTGACATGCCTAACCATCCCGTCGTTGTTCATTTTCTGAAAACACAATAGCTTCGTAAAGCCGGTGTGTTAATTCTTGGAAAAGCAAACCTTACGGTAATCATCAGCTATCTTCTCTTTTCCTAGGCAGAAGATTGAGTGTAATGCTAATTCTGGCTATAGGAGTTCTGCCAAATGAAGTAAGCAACATGAGATTTAGTCACCTGCACAACCAGACTCACATCTATTTAAGAGGTGACAACATCACTACCGGCTGGTCCGCCGTGGGTGGGCAGACTACGTCAGCATATATTGAAGGTGGCATCCGCCATGATCAAGGCAGGGGCGGCCCGACTGTAAATATCGGTCTTCTCCACTCCACAGTGGATTGCAATTTTATGAGCTAATCTTTTAAGATGCCCGGAGGGTCATCCACAGGCTCTGCAGTAGGTGTCTCTGCTGGGTTTAGCCCAATCGCTCTCGGAACAGAGACAGATGGATCCGTCATCCAGCCAGCAAATCGAGCCGCCTTGTTTGCGATCAAGCCCACCCATGGTATGGTATCGTTGGAAGGAGCGTGGCAGCTGTCTACCAGCTTTGATGTCATTGGACCAATGGCTAAATCAGCAGGTGATCTGGCTAATCTTCTCAACGTTATTGTGAAAAATGAAACTGCAAACTACCCGGAATTTTTGACAAAATCATTTGCAAATCTTAGGTTGGGATTTGTGGATCCAGATATTTGGCGATTTCCCGATGCCTACTCTCACCCCATTGATGGGGTTCGGGATCAGATGGTCAGTATAGCTTCTTTGCAATTCGGACTGTGAGCCATGAGCTCATTGCTTCAACAGAGGACTGCGTATCTTGACGCAAAGTCGAAGATCGAAACCCTTGCGAAGAAGGTCGAATATCCTATTTCGATCGTCTTGCCAGAAGATCTTAACATATCTGGGCAGCCAAGTATTTCGAATGTTATCAGTAATTATTTTCCTGTCCTTATAAGATGAAATAGAGAGCTTACTTACTCTTCACAGCATATGAATATGGCCCCCTCATTGACTCCTACTTGAAGAATCTCACTGAATCAGAGGTTCGCAGTTTGGATGAGCTCATCAAGTGGAACGAGGCCCATCGAGAGCTGGAGCTCCCAGAAGGTGTGCCGGAGATGGGACCCCAATTTTTCGAATGTATACATACTAATCCTGGAGTAGAGTACCCCAGTCAATCTCGTCTGGTCGCAGCACGGGATAACGTACCTTCTCTGGAGAATTACCAGGCTATTCGATCACATCTGAAAATGGTCACAGATGATCTGAGCGCGGTGTATGATGCACATGATATAGATCTCATCGTTATCCCTACAGACTCTCCAATCTGCTCCGTGTCGGCTGCGACTGGTAAGTTCCTCTGAAATAACTAATAACTAGTATCCCATTTGCTTACGCTGAATAGGGTTCCCAATTGGCACAATGCCCCTTGGCTACCTTGACTATAATGGCAAGCCCTTTGGCTTGGCGGTCATGGGCAGGTCTGGCGATGACGGATTACTTCTCCAGTTCATGAGTGCTTTTGAGGCAGCTTTTCCGAAGAGACGAGTGCCACCTCCCCTGCTTGCGAATCTCGGTGGGGCACCTGAAGATGAACCTCAGAGCATGATATAACCCTAAGTAGTAAAATTGAATGAGTTCTCATCAAAAAAAAAAAGAATTTTCAGAGTCAAGCTCTCAGAGTAAATTTCAGTCCGGGCTCAGGACGATGCGACCGAGATTTCTCCACTTTGTAGGTTGTATAGACTTATCCACATATATAGATAAAAAGCTTTATTACTACTTGAATACCCTCCTAGTCGCACGGGGCCGTTTAGGATAAAACAAAGCCGAATAAAGTTGATAGAAATGTGTACTATGTAATTTTCTAGTATTGTATGCCCAGATGGTTCCATTAGTGGCAATTACTAATTTTCTGTGTGGCAGAAACCCCGTTGTCAAATTTGGCCTCGACTGCCGTACACGTTCCTGCGAATCCAAAGCTCCTTCCACATTACAGGAACCAATTCTCTTACGCGCCTTCCCATATACACATGTCTAGCCAACTCATTACCCCCTCATCAGAAGCCATGACTACTCCTTTCAACCCTTGGCCGCACCTCGTTAGAATGGCTAATCTAAACATCAAAGTCTTTCCTGGGCTCGCAGTTACCGACGATCAGCTGAAGGAAGCCGCCGCTCTATTTCGTGACAATTACGGAATATGGGGCAAACAAACCAAGCGAGCAGGTAAGCTCTGACGGCAACACTACCTTGTTTACTGAGTGTTTATCCTCGGTAGGTCAGCCCGTGGCTTTGTCCCCCGACCGTATGCGAGAACAGTACCTGCCTTCTACCGCAACGACTGCTTATGCCAGAGTGGAAGTCGATGGGACCCTCGCAGGACATGCTTTTGCTTGCAGATGGCACTATAAGGGCTTAACGGTGTGCTGGATCACTCAACTTGTTGTGCACAAAGACTTCCGCGATATTGGACTTGCAACAACCCTCCTAAATGCGTTGAGGTGCGACACTGATAATATCTACGGGATCATGAGTTCCCACCCTGCCGCTTGTCTCGCTGCGGCGAAGGTTTTTTGTCGTGCTATCGAGAGGGTTCCGCTCGACTACATTGCCACGCAGGCAGATGCAATTCTCAAAAGCTCCCCTATTTCCTATATCCGCGACGCCAAGCTGCATGGCACTTTGTTCAAGGATGAGAGTGAGATGGTTTCTGGAGTAGACACGGGGTTCTTTGTCGACCATGATGAACCCAACGCAGCTCTCGAAGCGATCAAGAATGACTTGCCCTGGCCCCTAGGGGATCTCGCCGAAGGCCACGAATTTCTACTCATTATCCAGCACAAACGCCGTTCTAGTCGTCTGCTACAGACACAGGCAGTATAAGTACCTATCAACAGGCTTTTTTAATGTGTTGTGTCCCTTAGTTTTATTGGCTGAATTGCTAATACTGCCTGATCGATTGAGAGTGCTTCCAGGGCGGGTCTGGGATCATCAAGTCTTCTTCTAAGTTATTCTTACCTCGTGAGTTAGTTAGTTAGCTTCTTCAAACAATGACAAAATCTTTGCTACAATAATCGTGCCAAGCACGCAACACACATAGATATTAGATATGCGGGGATACAGTACTATGGTGATTTGTCTGCAAGACGCTCATTGAGACAAAGAAAGAGAAGAAATATGTAGGTAAGATGTAAGTATGCAGTGATGGTTTAATTACTGCATAAACAAATAGCGGACCATCAATGACAAGAACAAGCAACATAGCACAAACCAACATGTGCCGGGGAATCACAGAAATACAAATATGGAAGAGGTAAGAAAAATCCTTGGCAAATATGATGCTGAACCGACATATCACATCCTAGCAGCGCGCGTGGTCTTATCGTAGAAGTCCAAGGTCATGGCTGCTAGAAAACATGGAATATCCTTTCTTTCTTCAACCCAAAATTTGATCAGAGGTTTAAGTTCCATGGCGAACAGACTGTTTGGTCCGCCCGATATCTTCATGGTGCCGTTTTCACCATCGAAAACGATAGAGTTTTCTTCGCCATTGCCCATGCTACCGGGACCAGAGTCTGAAGGTGCATCGCAGTCGCCGTGCCGGTATGCGGAAGATAGGTGGAACATGGAAGTGACACGCACTCTACCATTCGGCAAGAAATCAAGCTTGAAGCCGAGGAGAGAGGCGACGGCTTCTCGGAACTCGGAGGACTTGGCTGTCCAGATCTCCTTCAGTCGGCGCATGCGCTTTTCTTTATCGGCAACGGTGCGCTCCATGTCTTGCATTTCGAGTTTTATGCTCTCCAGAGTGCTAACAGGGACGACTTTGACATCGGTCCGGCCCCCACGCAGCTGCGCCATGAGGTCTCTGTTTGCAGACTGGAGAGTTGCAAGAGTGGTCATCTTAATTTGCTCGGTTTGGGCTGTCGGATTATCCCGTAGTTCAAGAACGCGTGTTCGTGACTTGGCCTTCAAAGATTTAATCTGTGACTTGGCCGCCTCCAATTCACGGCGAGCGAGAGTCGTTGCCTGGTCTGATTTGGTGAGATGCTCCTGGAGCTTTCGGTTCTTGCGGCTGAGCACAGCAATACGCTCGGTTTCGGCTTCATTATTGGTGGGAGAAAGAGGTCGCTTCACTCCTCTTGGCTCTTCTTCTTTCGGAGCTTCCTGCTTGGAGAGCTCTTCGTGAACTTTGTGGAGCTCACTGCGGTATTCATCGACCAGTTGTTGAAGCTGAATTATCTGCTCAGACTTTTGTCCATCAAACTGTGACTGGTCTTCGCCCATGGTAGCTTCTTCCGCATCAAATGTCTTCAGTTGGGCACGCAGGTATTCAACTTCTTTGACTGCAAGCGCACGCTGGCGCTCCAGTCGAGCTCGAAGCCGGCCCTCCGCGGCACCTAGTCCTCCTACAGAACCGGTACTTGCAACGCGGAGTTTCTCCAACTCCTGTTGAAGATTATTTTTATCACTTTCGAGGCTCTTGATAGCCTCGTCCTTCTCAAGGAATTGAGCATCAACAGTTCCTAGGCGATCGAGGAGCGAAGCGATCTCAATTCGTCCTTGAACTACCGCCCTCACGACAGCATCTGGTGAGTCAAACTCTGCCGGCTGGTCGTTTTCCTGTAGAAGACTGACCCAAGATTGCCGCTCATCTTCCAACATCTGCTTTTGAATCTGAACTGTGTTGAGTTCTGCTTCAAAGCCCTTCATCAACTGGAGCTGGTTCTCCACTGATCTTTTTGTTCTTCGACGACTTCAACGTTCTTCGAGACTTTTCGAAGGTGACGCAGTTCCGTTGTTTGATCACGGTTTGCCGACTCTAATTCCCGAATATGATTGACCTGCTCGGAAAGTTCTCTCTTTAATACTGTCAAAGTCTCAGCATCATTTCCTTCGGCCTTCAATCGAATATTCTCTGCTTCGAGCTCGGCAACCTCGGCTTCACGCTGAGATAATTTCTCTTGTGTTGATTCCTGCGATATCCTGGCATTTTGGATATCGTTCTGGAATTCTTCAATCGTCTTTTGTAGGGAAGCGCGGACAGTCTCTAATTCGTTGATCTGGTATTTAAACTGTCGTTCCTGGTCGGAAAGTCGAGCTTGAGTGTCGTCAAACTCTTCCTGCAAGTTCTGATTCTCGTCCTGAAGGCCTCTAATCTTGCGCTCAGACGCAAGTTTATCATTCAAAGCCTGATCTTGAATTTCTTTCAATTCTTTTGTGAGTTCGTCGCTCTTATGGGTAGCCCGATTACTCGAAGATTCGGCAGCCTGCAGCAAAGAATGTTAGCTTGAGTTGCCGAAAACGAGGATTTTGTATCGGCTCACCTGAGCTTTCCGAAAATCTGCATCCGCTTTTAACTGCAAGTCGCGGGTCTCTTTTTCATGGCGGAGACCCTCCAACTCTCGTTCTTGCTTGATATTCTCGAGCTCGTATTTGAGAGTACTCAATTGAACGCGTAGCTCATCCTTTTCCACGTCTACATAAGCCAGTCAGTTTGCCGCCCAGTGCCTCTCGAATCAGTCTGGGCAGGGTATGGTCTGACCATGAATGGGTTGATGGGACTGGGCTTGAGATTGGGTGAAACGGCCAGATTGTCGCATAGCAGTCGATCGGCGCATGGTACTTCGTGCACCAGAAGGTGTCGAGGGTGAGCCGAATCCAGCAATGAGCTGGGATGCCGGTCGGCTGTTCTGGCTATTGTCCATCTATTAAGAACCAGGAGAGGTCAGTTGTTGTGCAAAAATAACATGGAGACCTATCAAAGCTCACAGTGAGGTTTCGGCTGTCATAAGCCCCACGGAAATTCCTGTCTAATGGGGCATAAAGCAAGAAACACTGCGCAACTATCCTAGAGTTGTATCAAAGGGAAGATGGTTGAAGGCGGGCACCGCCTTGTTTAGGATTATGTCAGCGGGCAACTGCACCCGAAAAAGGGTTAGCGCCGTTTTAAAAATTATTTCGATTTTGGCATCGAATTCTCAGTTCACCACCCTCACCCGTGACTCGTCTCCTTTCACCTCGGTCTCTCGTTCAATTTTACTCAATTTCTTCCGCTTAATACCCCACAATCGTCATCATGGGCAAGGACAAGGTCGAGAAGAAGGACCGCGCTGAGAAGAAGGAGAAGCGTGCGGAGAAGGACGGTGTGCACAAGGTCAAGAAGGAGAAGAAAGAGAAGAAGGATAAGACTGCTCTCGTCGATGCAGCAGAGAAGGAAGTTGTCTCTGAGGCCATGGAGGGCGTCGAGGAGACCGCTGTCGCTGTCAAGGGCGAGGGTGAGGTCGACGCCGCTGTCGACCGCCCCGTCGGCGCTCTCGTGCCGTTCGCCAACCCATTGGTTGAGGACAAGCAGGCCAAGAAGGTCCTGAAGAGTGTCAAGAAGGGTATGTGCACTGTCTTTTCAAAATTTTCCCTACTTCTTTTCTATCAGTGGGCATGATCGATTTTCATCGGATCTTCGGATCGCCCATGTCTACTGATCGCATGGTTGCGCAACTTTTTTTCTTATCTCCAGATCGTCCATGCTGACATGTATTCTTCTAGCTGCCGTCAACAAGTCTCTCAAGCGTGGTGTCAAGGAGGTCGTCAAGGCTCTCCGCAAGTCTCCCATCCCCGCCGCCAACGCTGCCATCGGTGTCCCCAGCGGTGTTGTCGTTCTCGCTGCCGATATCTCCCCCATGGACGTTATCTCCCACATTCCCGTCCTCTGCGAGGATCACGGCATTCCCTACGTCTTTGTCACCTCCCGCGCTGAGCTCGGTGCTTCCGCTGCTACCAAGCGCCCTACCAGTGTGGTCATGGTTACCCCCAAGGCCGCCAAGGGCAAGAAGGAGGATGATGAGGAGTTCACCAAGGTGTTCGAGGAGCTTGCTGGCTTGACCCAGAAGGAGCTCAAGAAGCTGACAGTCTAAAAATGTTCTCGACTTGTCTCTTTTACCTTTTGTTATTTGCTCTTCCCTCGCTGGTCACTGCGAGTGTTCTCTGGTTGTACAGGTTTCTGATACCGTCTGTTCAGACGGTGCATGTCTTATGGGGTCCGGCCTATGGGTATCTTTCTATATTTGCTGTTTTGTTCCAACTCGGCGTTATTTCAATGGTGTACGAAAAAGGCAAGAATTCCAATGAGATACCATCAACCTCATAGACTCAGTTCTCAGTAAGGTCTCGGTTAATTTTAATGGACAATTCCATGCAAATCTCAATCATTATATTGCCCCACTGGCAGCGTGATACCTGCATAGACCACGTTATACCTACGAGTCGATAACACGAAAAGTCTGACGGTATATTCTCCTTGTGCGATAGAACAAACGGGTCACACATGAAATTGGTCTCGAGTCCCTCCAATATTCGATAGATATTGCTGGCAGTCCAAGGAAGTCAATCCTAGATTCTCACAAATGTAATCTAATCAGTCACACGGCAAACTCAAGAATTGTACATAGCAGGTGGGGCGGCGATGAATTTGATACACATACTCTGTTCTGCGTGGTGTGAAGAGCCAAGCCCTGGGCATTTAGCCTTGCATCGCAAGATAAACTATTACCGTGGCGTTTGCGGTTCACACCAATCAATATGATCAATCACCGCACCCCTCGACCTTGATGTCGAACAAGGGATGAAGGGCATACCCCAAGCGCAGCCGATACCAATTTCAGCCAATCACCATGTATAGCGCCCCGGGTAAATCATATCCTAAGCTTACAGATCTTCTAGTGTTAGCCTAGATCCAGGAACATATTTGGTATTGGGCACCGGATTGGAGAATGGGGGTTTTCCCTTTGTCCTACACAGCTTCTTCCTTGTGCTCAAGGCACGGCCCTTGCGGTTGATCTCCGGTCCTCGAAAAATGATATAAAGAACTGAATGCCCTCGTACTACGTCGCGCAATTTATTATCTCTACATATACTCGGCCATCATTAGCCAATTCCGCTCTTTATATCCCTGACAATGCAGATCAACTGCCCGTCCATCTTAACACTCGGTCTGATTTTGGCTGTCGCTCACTCAACTACATCTCACCCTATCCGAACTAGCAAATGGGTCAAAACAGAACAATTCCCAGATCCAGATGCCCAGGGAATATGGAAGGTCTTTGAGAAAGAGGGATATGATCTATTACCCGACCCACCGCACGTCAAATACAATGGTGTAAGTACTAAACCTTATAGTGTCGACTCGGCGACTTACCTATATCCATCTATATAGAACCCAGCATGGCCTACCAACCAAAGCAATGAACCAGCAGAGGAAGACGCACCAAGCAATCGCTATAAAACTGGAACTTCCGAATTGGGGAAACCGACGGTCTCAATCCTGATCCCAGCATCACCAGAAGTACGCGAGCCAATGCACAAGCCCTACAACCAACAAACGGAACAAAAGCATCAAAGCTACTCCCCAGAAGACAAAGAGAGCCCAATCAATTCACCTGCTGGCCAGAGACAAGGTCACTACAACGATATTCTACAATACCTGCACACAAAACCCACCCTAAACAATGAGCACGAACACACCACACCTGCACCTTTTTCTCGCTTCTCATCGAGCCATTTAACCTCTTCTTCTGCATATCGCTTTGCTTTCACGGCTCTAAGATCAAAAGCCATGAGGTTCCCGCAGTCTCCTCTTCCAGAAGTTTTTACCACAGTGATCATTCTCCTAGTGATGGTTTGGATTGCTTTGTTCACCATCGGGTTGCTTGAATTGGGGAATTATGTTTGGAGACGGAGCAGAGAGGCTTCTGCTAGGAACAGTGCCCAGCGTCTGCATAGTCAGGATCCAGATGTGGGTTTGGATGAGACGATGAAGGTGCCCTTGAGAATAGTCATTGGTCCTTCAGAAAATACCCGGCCGCGCTCTGTGGGAGAACATGGGTATGAGTTCCTAGAGTCCGTTGCTAGTGACTACGACTCCGACTCCGACTCAGAATCTGATGAGGATGATTATCGTATCTTTTGATAATCCGATATATATTTCCGATCTGTACATTCATTGATCAAGCAAATCTTACTTTTCCTCCTGAGGTCTATTTGACTCCATTGAATTAAACAATTATATATTAGAAGGTTATCTTCGACCTCCAAAAAGGAAGACGTCGTGTAGAACATACACGTCGGAGTGAGAGCGTGGAAGGAAATACCAACTAGAAACTAATAGGGAGTAAAGAATTGAAACAAATGTAATGATCATATTTTCAAGTGCTATTGTATATAAGTACGCAATTATAAATCATACATAGTCCATCATAGCTCCAGCCTAAGCCGAGCTCAATCAAGGCACGCCCACTTGCATTCTCCCAATAAAATGATGGCACATCTCGAACCAAAGAGACTTAAGCGCGCTGATCACTCTCCAAGTTCTCGTATATAGTATTAGTGTCAATACCCTTCTGATGGGGACGGGCAGAGTCATTAGCAGAGTGGGCATTGCTGTGCTGGAACTGCCTGATAGCGTCACGACCAGGGTCTTGGCTTGAGCCAATTTCCGAGTTGAAGCTAACATTCTTAACATCGTCGGAGGGGAGGCCACCCGCTTGAATATCAGTCATGTCGTTGAACTGACTGCCACCACTACTACCGCTGGCAGTAGAGTATTCGCCAGCCTTGATGCCCATCTCCCTTTTGGCCGCAGTTGAGCCACCGGCGTACCCAGAGTTGTCCATGTGTGTGCCAGGGAAGTTGCCCTGGCCAACCACACATTCGGGGTATTTCTGTTCCTCGTGACGGTCCTGGCGCTGGGCACCGAATGGGGCGGAAGGAAGCTTGATGGAGGCGGAAGTGTTGGCGTTGGTTACTGTGGATTGGTTTCCTGACATGCCCATGGGCTCGGCGCCACGGTTGCCAGAGAAGCCGCCACCTTCGCGGATAGACTCAGCGGCAAGTGAGTCATTGGTAATTGGGCCAGACGGTTCTTCGATGCGCTGTTGTGTACGAGGATCGGTGGTCACCTTAGTGCCACGGCTGCTGGGAGGAAGAGGAGTGCCTTGAATATCCATGATGGTATGATGGAAAAAGTGTAAGGGGGTAGATTACGGTACAGTAGAGTTGTTTGGTAGAATAATGCAGATAGGTAATTGATGGACGCTACATGGCCGTGATAGCAGATCTATATAAGAAAGCAGTGAGAACCACATGTTGAAAGTATCTGGTGCTCATAGGTATAGTAAAGAGCATTTATGTCATACTTACGTTAACCAGGAGCATTTACAAGATATATGCGAGCTCAATCTTGTTGGCTACGACCAGTCGCGTCAACCAGTTATGCTCAAGACACTCTGTTTGGTGGTTGGAGAAACCGATGGAACCTAGGTGTGGAGCATAGGCTACCCTCTGATGTATTCGTGCTTCTAGAAGGCATCAAAAAAGGAATCCCTTGTGCCACATACCTATCTAGGACTTGTCTGAAATCCATCATCAAACAAGAACAAGGAGGCGATTGACGTCAGGTCTAGATCCCAGACATGCAAACAATGCAAATATATTTCTTTGCTTTCACCTGTACGATTCTTGTATCCATAGAGAACTAGTTATGACCCTACATACATGTGTAGTTATCTAAGCATTTAATATTCTGTTAAGGTAAGCTTGAAAGTATGGCACATTCTTTGTCGTGGTAGCGAGACTGCCTTTGCATGTTTATTATACCTGTATAGAACTATATAGTTTTACTTAAACACATCCAGATTCTGCTGATTCTATATGAAATCATAAATAGCCACATCCAGATATTCACTATTTGATAGCCCTCGAAGAAACAAGCGATCAAATGGTTAGTTTTTACGATTGCATGTTGATATAGCACACATATAAACAGCATGAAAATTTTGAATTTCACTTAGTCGCTCGTAATGACATTGACAAAAATGACTAGCTAGCTAGCGTACACATAATAAACCATCATGATCATAGGCTCAATTGATTGGCCATAGCATTAGAGGGAACGTGATGCAGTCCCTCGATACCCTAGAGTCCAAGTTCGCTAGCACTACTACCGACAGGCGCGCTCCCACGCAGGCCACTGTTATCAGGAGGGAACTCTAAACGTCCAGAGCCGATGCTGGTATTACGTTGGTCAAAGGAGTTCCAGTCACTGGCAACTGGGGGTTGATCGGGCAGGGGCAAGTTGGCCTTAACCTTATCAATTTGTGCAGCCTTGTCGGAGTTTTGGTCGATGATAGACTATAGACAAATTGTTAGGTGATCTGTTTTCTACTTGTGTTTTGTATCGTAGGTAGCTTACCTTCATTCTAGAGACATTTGAGTCTGCTGGGGGGTTGCCACCGTGCAACTGGGAAAGCTTTGATTCGGCCCTGCGAAGGTCCTGGATGGTGGTGTGGAACGTAGCGTCAGTCATTTTGCGTCTGGATATGACCGTGACGAAGTGTCAGAATTGGCCGAGAGTGACTTTGAATCTGATATGATCTCAAGCAAGGCAACTGAGGGTTTATATATCTACCATCTTCTTTGTCGATGGCAAGACGCTGTGACGTTTCTTACAATGACGACATGGCGTCCAGGGCCATGGATAATCTCCCCACCAGAACCAGCTGGGGCCTGCTTCGTTTTGGGAGTATGGTCTCTACAGAGATTCCATACTTTCGTGTGAATAGGAGAATAACTAACTGGACAAAACTCAGGGATTGGCGTCATAGCTGCCCATGGGCCACCTGAGGTGGCAAGCCTGCTCATTTTCTTTCATGACAAGATGCCATGCATATCCTCTGATCATTATCACTCGAGGCCTGTCAAGGCGTCAATAGATCTTGAAGGTGAACGGCCTAGATGCCATAGACCGATTAGGGATGCAATGCTCTTCATTCCCTCGGGTTGTTCACGCATCTTTTGGTTATTCAGTAAATTTCGACCGCGGTTGGAAACATTAAATGAAGTACCATGGAGGGAACTCTCCTAAGCTCTAAACAAGCCTATTGTATCGCCTAGATAATGTGTGATAGAACAACAACACGAGCCATCGTTCCAGGGGAAGTAGATATACAACAGTTGGCCATAGTGTTTCGCCGTGAATTATGGAACAGACCCTAAACCTCCAGTTGCTATCCTGAAGCTATCCTAGAATGATCTTCATAATAGACGTATTGGATATTAATCAAAGGCTGCAAGGAGTTCAACAGGAGTCGGCGTCCTAGAGCGGCATGGGGCCATCGACATCACCGCCTGCCCTTTTTGCACGGCAGAAAATGTTTCTTATCGAAAGACAGTCAACTCCGAGGCCTGTGGAGACTTGGTGAATCTGATCATTGTGTTAATCTGAGGATATTTTGCTCTTCGACACATATATCCTTCAATATGCCTCGAGATCCGCTAATCGGACTGGTTGGCAAGGTATGTTGTTCCCCTCCACTGTTCCATCACCCCACTAAATGCAGCCGCGAGGGGCATACAGCCGTCTAGTGGAAAATCCACAACATTGAACAGTTTGACCGATGCGACTTCGAAAGTCGGTAAGTGAAGCGGAATGCAGTTACAATAAGTGTCGGAAAGCTGATCAATTATGCTCTGAATAGGAAATTTCCCGTATGTGCGCCCCGATTGTTCTACACGAGCATATCCGCCTTATCGCAGTTGATGGCGCAGGCCGTGTTGACACCCGACAGCTTCACAACCATTGACCCTCAGAGAGCCATCGGATACCTTCAGATCGAGTGCCCCTGCCAGCGACACAATGTTTCAGATCGGTGCCAACCCAATTATGGAGGCTGCTACGAAGGTCGACGTTCCGTGCCGATCGAGTTGCTAGATGTTGCAGGTCTTGTGCCAGGCGCGCATCAGGGTCGCGGACTGGGGAACAAGTTCCTGGACGATCTTCGTCACGCCGATGCTTTGATTCACGTCGTAGATGTGAGCGGGACAACAGATGCTGAAGGTTTGTTGGGGGTGCTGGATTGAATATAATGGCGCAAATCGGGTGTTGATAAATATCGATAGGAAAGGCTACTCGAGGATATGATCCATCAGTAGACATTGAGTGGTTGCGATCAGAGATCGTGCGATGGGTGCTAGGAAACCTGATGGAGAGATGGTACGTTTGCAGCTGCCAAGAACACACAACGATGGATAACTGCTGATTTATCCTTAGGGGTTCTATCAAGAGAAGACATCAGGCATTAAGTCAGTGCACTTTTGCAGCGCTATTTACAATAACACAGAACTGACCCTTAGCACAGAGGCAAACCCCGTCGACACATTGCAGAAACAGTTTGCCGGTTATGGAAGTACCTATGCCACCGTTGCGCGATTTATGGATAAACTTGCCTTAAAAGAGCCGTTGGAAGATTGGTCAAATGAGACGGTAGAGCTTGTTGTCAATGCTTTTATCGATGAGAAGTTCCCCACAGTGTTCGCATTGAACAAGATCGACCACCCAGATGCAGACAAGGTACGAGGGGTCTGGCTGGTTCCCCATACATTATGCTAACAGGAATTACAGAACATTAGTAAAATTGCGAAAATGCAAGATCCCAAAAGCATTGTGCTTTGTTCCGCTATATCTGAAGTTTTCCTCCGGAAGCTAGCAAAGCAGGAGTACATCAAGTATGTCGAAGGCAGTGAGTTTGTCGACACGCGAGAAGATTTGATTGAGATGGGCGACCCGGATGGAGGAGGTCTCAAAGAGATGGATGAGAAATTGAAAACGTATGTTCAGTGCTCATACCAAAGTTATAACATCACTAACGCCTTCGCTCCAGTCGGGTTGAGAACATGAAAGACATGGTGCTGTATCGATTTGGATCTACTGGAGTTGTTCAATGTCTTTCCCGAGCCGCAGAGCTTCTGGGATTAGTACCAGTGTTTCCCGTCCGGAACGTGGCGACATTCAACTCTGGCACTGGAACTGCCGTATTCCGCGACTGTGTTTTGGTATCTAGGTGAGTACTCCTACTACGGGTCTGAGTCTGACATAGCCTGTCTAACATCCCACAGAAACAGTACTGTTGGTGATGTTGCCCGGAAGGTGATGGGTGACGTACCTATCAACTATGTCGAAGGAGTGGGTGGAACTCGAGTCTCCGAGGATGACATTGTGGCAGTTGGGAAACATGACGTGAGTGCTCCCCGCTAAACTATATAATACGGTTGATTGACTGATTACCATTGCAGATCCTATCGTTCAAGGTTGGTCGGTAGACCAGTCCGTTTATGTACAGTCTCTCCCATGATAGTAATGGAACTGTCTTATGACCTCGTTCTCTACTCCGATTCACTATTATCACAAAATTTTGGGACATCGACCGTGAAATGTCGAGCTCGAAGATCGCCATAGAACACCATAAGATACTTGGCTTCAACTCCCCTTCTGCAAGATTGGGACACAGTTAGTGACATGAACTTCCAATCATTCAATTGAACTGACCTTGGGCCGCTCGTCACTCATGCCAATGACCGGCTCTGGCGCTTTGGGATACTCCTGTTTAGCCTTCTTTGCATACTTGGTCCCGCTCCTCTCCGTCATTCCATGTGACTTGGTTTCATCTGCAAGGCCCTGGCTTGTTTCCCTCTCCTTTAATCCAGAGGCCGCTGCCTCTGAATGTACATCTTCTGTATCGCCTTTCTCAGACCGCTTGCGTGTGTGGTCCTCCGCCGAACTCCCCTTCCAATCCTCGAAAATGGAGTAATCTCGGACTCCAAGTTGTGGACGGAGAAATGGCGGGTGTATGGCGGACTGTACCGGTAGGACGACCCGCCAAGGTTGTCGTGAAATAGACATGCTGTGCAGCGTTGGTATAGCAGAAGAGATACAGTGATTGCGCATAGCGATTTTCGAATAGTTGTAAAATACTTGAATAGCTAGAACGTTGGCCTTCATGATTATATCTACTCGGTTCTATGACGTCCCCATGCTGTAATATTATTTTGTCCGAAAAGGGTAAGAGTACGGGCGACTAAATATGCCATCCGACACATAACTCTCTCATTGGTTATTACCTCACCGCCTAGTTCATTACTGCCTTCTTAAAGCATTTATTATTTGTATACTATACACTTTATAGATTCAATTCAGATTCAATTAGTAAGATAGTAAGATAATAAGATAGTAAGAAATCAAGAGTCAAGACTTAAGACTTAGGAGTATAAAGAGCCCGGTGTTAAAAAAAATTAATATCGTATTTGTTGAACAATCTCCTATACATAGTTATATAGTTAGTTATATGTTTGCTAACTAGACTAAGCCCTATTTGTTCGTTATTTACTATTTGTTAGCTTGTTTACTATAATCGAGTAGAGGTTAGATGGTTTTAGCAGGGTATATAACCCCCTACATTTCTAGTTTAATCAATTAATAATTCTGCCTCTGCTTTCTCCCCACATAGTAACAGGTTGCTCAACAGTATTCATTTATAAAAATACTATAACTATAAAGTAACTATAGATTCAACAATGGTACTTGTGAAGTGAGAGTGGATCGAAATTATTGCCTGGCAATATAAACCAATAAGAGAGTTATGTCGCCCGTAGTAAGAGCCAGTTCGAGCCGAGCTTATCGATAAGACATCGATCGTCATCGGCGCGACATTCTGAACGGACATCATCAACCTCTTGACCCTATTCGCAATGAAACGCGAGTACATCCCGATCGAATCCCTGCCAGCTTGGCAGAGGCTCAACGGGATTGTGGTCCAAGGCATCGCAGTTCACAAGATAGGATCTGATCAACATGGCGCAGACAAAGGTAGTGCCCTCATCGCAACACAAGCCCGGACGAGCAGCGAGAACGATACAAAACCCAAGATCCTCCTACAAATTCCTCCTGAATTAGTTTTATCCCTCGAGACTGTCCAGAACCATGCCAAAATCGACAGGTATTTGCGCGACGTGTTGGAGGCAATCGGTGACTTTGGAAGGGTATGACCTGCTTCTTCCCCAACATCTATTTATATTACAATGAGAAAACCAACCAGGATACACAGACAGCTAGAGGAGCAATCCTCATATTCCTACTTATTCAACTATCCCATAGCAGCCCCGACCTGCGCACAGCACACGAGACCATCGGTATCTCCAATCCCTGGACCGAATACGTGAAGTTCCTGCCTCCATCGTTCCCTCTGCCTACCTTCTATACCCCCGATGAACAAGAGCTCCTCCAGGGCACGTCGCTTGCAGAAGCTCTGGACGCGAAGCTTGCGTCCCTTGAGCGGGAATTTGAACAGCTCCGTCAGGCTACTGAGGGTATCGCGTGGTGCCAGCGGAGCTGGTGGGATGAAAAGACTGGCACATTGACAATTGATGACTGGAAATATGTTGACGCGGCTTATCGGTCGCGCATGCTGGATCTACCCGGCAGTGGTCTGGCAATGGTGCCTTGTGTTGATATGGCCAATCATGTCTCCGGCG